TATTCACCACTGTCATTGCTGTTTCGAAATTCTAATTAATACGTCTCAGGACCCAGAGTATAAAAGCCATTAATATGCTCTGTTCCACCATTCCATTCTGAATTTCATCTTTAAGTGCTTACTGCCCATCTTAAGCAAACTTTAGTTTTATTAAACAGTGCAAAATAAATGTAGTCCATGAAAACCCTACTTATCCAACCATGGTTCTAATCCTGCAGGAATATTAACTTATTTACTCTGCCCTTCTGCATCTCTGCAAAGAGACTGTAAAGTTCCCACACTCTTTCTTCATTTACACCAAAGCTGCCTTTTTGGGACAAACTGCATTTCTGCATTTTAGCATCCAGAGGAATTACAGGCCTGGCAACATTTGGTCTGAGGGGCAATTATAAAACAATTTGTCATTTTTTTTCATAAAGCTCACAGATCTCCTTGTGCGTGGTCCTAGTCTCACTGTGCAAATGATATATGGGTTGGATAGAAGGAGGCTGCTGGAGTTGAGTTGTGTGATATATTCATATTCCCCTGCAACCTCCATGGATGACTGGTGTAGCATGAGGGATCATTCAAAGAGATCTTATCCTGTCTAAGTGATAGACTCTGTTTCCCATTGACACCAGTACCAGTATGTTGGGGACTTTCTAGGTTCCAGAAACACTTGGGGCTTGAGCTCAAAGAAAACTCTATGACCCCCTACTAGTGATGTCCCGAACGGTTCGCCGGTTCCAGACAATCAGCAGCAGAACCTCCCTCCCAGACCCTCCCACCTCCTGGACAGCTCACTAAGAATGCAGCTTCAAAATGGATGCTGTCCAGGAGGTGGGAGGGTCTGCTGCTGATTGGCTGGAATGTGTCTGCTGACTGTGAGGTCCGCGGCGTACCGTTCGGCGAACCATTCGGGACATCACTACCCCCTACCCTATAAGGGAAATGGGGATTTGTGATGACATATGCCCGTCTCTCTGTGTTACATCCCTTCTCTTTGTGTTCTGGTACTCTCTGGAATCTCAATGAAAGCAAGTACAGCAAAGTTCTGCTCCATAGTACCCCTTCATGATAGTCATCTGGGCGCACCCCTAAGTAGACTGGCAGAGCATATACTGCTGATCTTTCTTTATGGAATAGAACTGCTGTGTCCACTCTATCCTTGGTGTTAGCATTTATGATTCCTTATTGGCTCCAGTCAACAAGAGCAGTCTTGCGTGGGCAGGCCTAAACTTAATCTTTGGGATGGCGCTATCACTCCTGGCACTATAACCACTACATTAGGCTGTAGTAGTTGTGGTGTTTGGAATGTTGCTTTAATTAAACAAAAGCTTTTCTTTAATTATACGTGGGGTTAATTTCTTTTTCGAGCTGTCATCCTACATAATGCAGCACAGATGGAATTATTGGACACAAACGTCAAACTAGACCTTATAACTCACTCCTGCAGCATTCTACACCTAAGAAGAACCATAGGAGCAGCAGCCATAGACCGTGGACTCCCATGTTTATATGACTGGTTCTTCTTGGACAACAGGTTATCATCATACTGACTGACAGATCAATATATTGTTTCCTCATTCTTAGTGCAGTCTAAACAAATTCTACTGAGATTCAGCTTCATTTCCTATTTCGAGAACACCGGAAGCCTTCTTCTCTTTTTCTTTTTGTCAGTGTTCCTTGAAAATTACAGGAAGTTCCATTAAAGTTATAAGTGTTAAAGGACAACTGACACCTCAAACTTATTTTTTAATATATTAATACTTTCATTAAGCTTTGAAAGTAAAACTTTTTTTTTAATGTAGTATATGTAAAAGAAATGAGAAACTCATCCCTCCCTTTAGTCAGGGCCATCTTTAATAAGGATTGGACAGTGAGCAAGCGTTTGCTTGGGCCCCTGGATGCTGCCCCTCCTCCCCCACTACTCCCTGGCATGCAATCACGGCACACAAGCAGATACACAGATACACACACTGACTACATACAGATACACAGGCACATTCACTGACACACATACACAGGCACATACACTGACAGATATACTGACACACATACAGAGGCATATTCACTGACAGACATACTGACACACACAGGTACATATACTGACACACTCAGATACATATTTTGACACACACACACACACAGGCACATATACAGACCTACTGACACAAACAAACAGACACATACACTGTCAGACATACTGACACACATACACAGGCACATACACTGACAGACATACTGACACACTCAGATACACTCAGATACATATTTTGACACACACACACACAGGCACATATACAGACCTACTGACACATACAAACAGACACATACACAGGCACATACACTGACAGACAGGTACATACACTGACAAACATACTGACACACACAGATGCATATTCTGACACACACACAAACGCAGGCACATATACAGACCTACTGACACAAACAAACAGAAATATCCACTGATACACATACACTGACAGACATACTGACACACATACACAGGCACATACACTGACAGAAACATAGAAACATAGAATGTGACGGCAGATAAGAACCATTCGGCCCATCTAGTCTGCCCAATTTTCTAAATACTTTCATTAGCCCCTAGTCTTATCTTATAGTTAGGATAGCCTTATGCCTATCCCACGCATGCTTAAACTCCTTTACTGTGTTAACCTCTACCACTTCAGACATACTGACACACATACACAGGCACATACACTGACAGACATACTGACACACACACAGATACAAACACTGACAGACATACGGACACACACAGACAGACATACTGACACACATAGATGGATATACTGACACACACAGACAGACATACTTACATACATGTAAAATGCACATTTTTAAACCCACCCTCCAGTTTCCTAACTTTTGCTGGAGGGTGGCTTCCCTGGGGTCCAGTGCAGTGGTGCCTGAGGCTGATGGGAGTAAAAAGCCTCCATCCTCACTGCAGCTTCCTCCTCCCTCCCTTGCGACTCCTCCTGCCAGCTTCCGTGCAGCTCCTCTCTTTATGGGAGGAAATGACTCGCGGCTGTCACTTCCTCCAAGCCGGTGCCGGAAAGCAAGGGGCCCAGTGTTAAAGGGCGACAGCGCCCGACCGGGCCCCTGCTGATACAAGTGGAACTCAGAGGACGGAAAAAAAGGAAATTGATGAGGTCAGCGGGGTCCACGGGGCAGCTGCCTTGGGCCCCCCAGGAGAAACTGGGCCAGGCTAGCTATCCTGTTTGCCCCTTGTTAAAGACGGCCCTGCCTTTAGTATATGACAGGACCCGACAGCCACATATGTGTACCTTGGGTCAGACAATGTTTGAAAACCAACAGTTAGTCTTATGACTCCCTGCACTGAAGCAAGGAAGACCATAGAGACTTTCATTTTTCACTGTATATGGCTGAAGTATTCTGTTGTATACTAAAGGTAGGGATGAGCATATTGTTACAATGGTACCTGTCAAGGGGTGGGATATATTAGGCAGCAAGTGAACAGTCAGTTCTTGCAATTCATCTGTTTGAATGGGCAGGCAAAAATATCTGAGTAACTTTGACAAGGGCCAAATAGTGATAGCTAGATGACTGGGTCAGAGCATTTCCAAAGCAGCAAGTCTTATGGGGGATTCCCGGTATGCAGTAGTTTGTACCTACCAAAATAAATAAAAGCAAGGACTGCTGGTGAACCTAGTCATGGGCGCCCAAGGCTCATTGTTGCATGTGAGAAATGAAGGCTAGCTCATATGGCCCAATCACATAGAACAGCTATTGTAGCTCAAATTGCTGAAAAACTTAATACTGGCCTTGATAGAAAGGTTTCAGAACACACAGTTGCCATTTTCTTTTAGATCAGGTGGATGGCCAGGCGCGTGTGTGTCATTTACCTGGGGAAGTGATTGCAGCAGGATCAACTGTAGGAAAAAGGCAGGCCAGCGGAGGCAGTGTTATGTTCTGGGTAAAGTTCTGATGGGGAACCTTGGGTCTTGGCATTCATGTGGACATTGACAAGTACCACCTACCTAGAGATTGTTGCAGACCATGTATGCTCCTTCAGAGCAATGGTGTTCCCTGATGGTAGTGGGCTCTTTCAGCAGTATAATGCACCCTGTCACACTGCAAAAATTGTTTAGGAATGGTTTGAGGATAATTACGAAGAGTTCAAGGTGTTGTCTTGGCTGGCAGATTCCTCAGATCTCAATCCGATCGATGGAGGATCCACCTTGCAATTTGCAGCTCTTAAATGATCTACTGCTAATGTATTGGTGCCAGATACCAAAGGACACACTCAGAGGTCTTGTGGAGTCCATGCCGTAATGTATCAACGCTGCTTTGGCAGCAAAAGGGGGACCTACACAATATTAGGCAGGTGATTTTACTGTTGTGGCTGATCAGTGTATAGAATTTTTTATGAGGTGACTATTGTCTTTTAAGTCATCGGATGACATTAAGAGTGATAAAATGCATTAGTAAATCAATCATCCTCTGTGAGCATTTAAGTATGAGCCAATAGATTTACCACTGCACATTACGTACTAAAAGCCACATAGGGTTAATATGTTCAACACTTGTGGTTTATTCATATACACAGTTACACGCTATATTTTTCTGTTTGTTATTGGCTTAGCAGATCATCCCTATTTTTTGTATATAATATGTTCATGAGGAATTTTCACAGAATGAGGGATTCATGGTAATGAATAAAGGGGCAATGTTGGGAACATTTCAAAACGTTTCTTAAGCAGTCATGATTTCAGTTGACTGCAGCACCCTCTAGTGGTACTCTGTCCAACAGTGTTAGCACTTTGTAATCTATATTTTACAAGTATTGGTAATAACACATACACTATACGGGCAAAAGTATTTAAACACTTGACCATTACACCAACAGGGCATTTTATGACATTACATTCTAAATACATAGATCGTAATATGTAGTTGCTGCTCCCTTTGCAGCTATAACAGTTTCCACTCTTCTGGGAAGGCTTTCCACACGATTTCAGTGTTTATGTGGGAAATTCTGCCCATTCACCCAGTAGAGTATTTGTGAGGTCAAGCACTCATTTTGGACGAGAAGGCCTGGCTTGCAATCTACTTTCCAGTTCATCCCACAGATATCCGACTGGGTTGAGGTCAGGGCTCTGTGCCGGCCAGTAAAGTTCTTCCACACAAAACTCATCCAACCATGTATTTGTGGACTTTGCTTTGTGCTCTGGGGCACAGTCATGCTGGAAAAGAAAAAAATGCCTTGCCCAAACTGTTCCCACAAAGTTAGAAGCATAGCATTGTCCAAAATGTCTTGGTCTGCTGACACATTAATATTTTCCTTTACTGAAATTAAGGGGCCTAGCCCAACCCCTGAAAAACAGCCCTGTACCATTAGCTCTCCTTCACCAAACTTTCCATTTGGCACAATGTCTCTCCCAACCCAGGACCCTTTACCTTCTCTGCCAACAAGACGCCGCATGAATCTCATCCCAGTACCTTGCAATTTCTAATCATCTGCCAATGTTCAGTGTGCACTGTGGAAAGCCTGCCTTGTCTGCAGTAATCTGAAATCGACAGCAATACACGATCTCTCTTTATTTCAAATTCTCTCACTTAGACCTGGCTGATCTCTGATAGCACTGCTCCTGCGTCTTTATGTTTTGATGGCCTACAATCCTTCCACACACACAGACTTAACAACTGTTGCTGTGTTACTGTACACTGTTACAGTGTAGGCATATTTCTCAACCACCTAATGTACCTTTTAACCAATCCTCCCCCCGCCCTATCTTTTCTTTCCTTTCTGAAACTCACACTATCAGCTTATTTATACCCACTGCTTTAAGAATTGCCATTATTTATCACCCCATGGTCATTTTAGCACATTCATGGAACACTTTTCTTCCTGGCTATGCCACTTCCTCTCCTCTAGCACCATTGCTTTTATCCTTGGGGACTAATATAACAATCAACAACCCTAACAGTTCTGATGCCCCTCATTTGCTTTCTTTAACCTTCTCCTTCAGCCTCTCGCAATGGTCTAACTCAGTAACTCATACAGTGGGAAACAATCTTGATCTCATCTTCACCAATCTCTGTACTGCCTCTAATCTCTCCAATGTTCCTTTCCATCTATCTGACTACCATCTGCTGCCTGGTGACATTGGCATACCCTGTACCCATATCACACCACACTTGGCACACCAATCTCATAGAAACCTCTGGTGTCTTGACCTACATCAATTCTCCACCAACCTCCCAACTCTCCTTTTACACATGGCAATCATCACCAGCTCTACCTTGGCATCCTCCCTCTACTCTGCATTGGATATTATGGCACCCCCTATATTTAAACATTGTGAGCAACCCCAGCTACAACCCTGGCACACTAAACTGACCTGTTACCTCCAAAAATGCTGAACGCTGCTGGAAGAAGCCTTATTCTGCATCTGACTTCCTCCACTATATATTTATGTTACACTCTTACAGTTTGGCTCTTTCCTCTGCAAAAGAAAACTAATTCAGCAGCCTCATAACTACTCACTACTCACTACCTGAGAACCCAAACATCTCTTTCACACTGTTAACTCTCTTCTTCACCCTGTTGCTGTTCCTCCGCCTATTAACTTGACCACCACAAACTTCACAACACACTTCAGAGATTTCAGTGATCAGGAAAGAGATCTCTAATCTCTCTCGTACCCTGCCTATATTTCCCCCAAGCCAACACCCTCCTGTATTACATGCCCGTTGGGCCGCGATAGCCATGGGCCAAGTCCGGCAGGGGAGGTCACAGGATCTCCACGGCCATTCCATGCAGGCCCTGCTCTATCAAAGATCTCCCTCACCGGCCCAGAGGCAGTTACATGCAGCTGCTGGTGGGGGAGGGAGGGAGACAGCAAAGGACCCAAAGGAGCTCTATCTTGCAGCTCCACCGGGTTCATCTCGCGAGATCCGGAGCATTGCCATGCCAACGCTCCAGGTCACGCAAGAGTGAACTCTAGCCCCACAGGCTCACCACTCACCACTAGGACCACCAGGGATAGCAGCACTTTCCTGGCATTTTTGTCTCCTGGTAGCCCATTTATGGAGACAAGTTTCAAGCAAACACAACGCAAGCATGTTATTAAATTTGCTTGTGCGGTGCAGAACAAATAGAGGGCCTTTTTCTCATGTAGAGCTCTTCAGCAGAGCTCTGCATGGTCTGCCCTGGAAGAGTATTGAACCAACATGCTCACTTTGAGATGGGCCGTGCTTATCATTGGGGATGACAAAACACACCCTTTCTGGCCCGGCCCCCTTTTCAGTGGGCTGCTGTGATTAAAAAATGCCTAGGACAAATTTTTTTCTCAGTCCGGCCCTGCTTGTGCCCACTACACCTGAAGAGGTTTCTGCTCTGCTTTAGTCCTCTAGCCCCACCACTTGTTCCCTTAATCCTACAACCTCACATTTCACTCTTGCTTTGTCTCCTTCTGTGGCTCTGCCCCTCACTAAAATATTCAAACTCTTCCTTTCCTCTGGCATATTTTCTTCACCCTTTAAGTACACAACCATCACCCCAATTCTAAAAAAGCCCTGGCCCTAACTCTCCATCCAACTACTGCCCTATCTTGCTACTACTGTTTGCTTTCAAGATCAAGGAGAGAGTTGTGTATGCTAGATTAAACAACTTGCTGCTATATCCAGTGGTTCCTACTCTCTCCTAATTTTCCTTGACCTTTCTGCTGCTTTTGATCATCAACAACTTCTTCTATCTAATCCTCGGTAACCTTGGTCTACCAGATTCTGCACTTTCCTGGTTTTCCTCCTACCTCTCCCAGTGTTTCTTTTTCTGGCTATTTCTCTCCTCCGCAACCCCTCTCTGTCGGTGTTCCCCTAGGTTCTGTCCTCAGTCCACTACTGTTCTCGATCTATACTCCCTCGTTTGGCAAAATCAGCTCTTTTGGCTTCTGATATTATTTCTATGTGGATGATGTGCAAATATACCTGTCCTCTCCTGATCTCTCGCTGTCCCTTTTGACTTGTGTCTTTAACTGGCTCTCTGCTATTTCCAACTGGATACCTGCTCATTTTCTTAAACTTGTTCCCAGCTGGCCCGGTTACAGTCTATAATATATGAAGCGCGAGGCTCATCTTCCTGTCTGCCCACAACTCCAACTCCTCCCCAGTCTGTCAGTCCTTTCACTGGCTTCCTGTAAGATATAGGGCTTAATTTAAAATTCTGGTGCATGCTTACAAATCTCTACACAATCCTAGCTACCTTTCCTCACTGATACACAAGCATGTCCCATCCCGGCCCCTACACGCTGCCGAAGATCTGCGTCTATTCTCTGTTCGTGCTTGCGCCTCTGAGACCTGCCTTCAAGGCTGCGCTGTCCCTATGGAACTCTCTTCTCTGCTCCATTAGACTCTGACCCAGTCTCAGTTCCTTCAAAAGATTATTCAAAACTCTTTTTGAAAACATATCAATAAAACTGTTTAGCTTTCCCTCCTCGCACATTGGTAACCCACCCTGCTTCCTCTCATGCAACTGTGTCATCTAATAAACGTACCCTTCACTGTAAACTACCCTAGTAACCTACTATTTCACGTACATGAAAAACATCCTACCCTTACCTCTTCAGCCACTCCCTCTAGAATTTAAGCTTGTTTGAGCAGGGCCCTCAGCACCCTCTGTTGCTGTGTGTCTAGCTCGTCTTGTTGCAATTGCATGTCTGTTAATCCACCTATTTTACAGCTCTACGGAATTTCTTGGCACTTTTAAAATAATAATAGTAATAATAATAATCATATAAACAGCCCTCTCATACACAGCCAAACACACACATTACACACAGCTACCACACTTATATCCTGTTTTGGTTTGCTAGATTAAAAAATAAAAAAGGCACTTGTGATTGAGTATTAGTTATGAAGCCACAAGTACTCTGGCACCCTCCCAGTGTATCTTTTTGAAAAAAAATACAAAATTCTCGTGGTGTGCCCCATGCGCCCGCACCCCATCCTAGTTTCTCACTCATTGACTGACAGCTCTTAGTTGACTCTCTCAGTCAATGAACGCAGCCCTGCTTAGCTCAGTGTAGCTAACCAGATTCTCCTGCAAAGAGATTATGGAAGCAGGCACCTTGTGTGACCCAGTTAAGTTGTTGAACTGTTGAAAAACAATATGACAAATTACACTGGGAAGATGCAAGGGCTGTAGTGGTTATGGTGTTTGGAGTGTTACTTTAGTAAATATTCTCTTCATAGACTTAAAAAAAAAATAGAAAAAGAGGTGCATACACTAAAACAATGTGCAGCACACACCTTTATAGGGAATAAACAGAATATTAAAAATACTGGGAGTTAGTTTCCTTTAACCAGCTCTGGCTTACATGATTACAGTCTGACCTCTGCTGGCTGAATTACATAACTGTTTCATATTAAATTATACAGTAAGGTGGAAAAAAAGTATTTGATCCCCTGATGATTTTGAATGTTTGCCCACTGACAAAAAAATGATTTTAATGGTAGGTGTATTTTAACAGTGAGAGACAGAATAAAAAAAAAAATTATAATCCAGAAAAACACATGTAAAAAAAGTTATAAATTGATTTGCATGTCAATGAGGGAAATATGTATTTAATCCCTTCAATTTAGTACTTAGTAGCAAAACCCTTGTTGGCAATCACAGAGGCCAGACGTTTCTTGTAGTTAGCCACCAGGTTTGCACACATCTCAGGAGGGATTTTGTCCCATTCATCTTTGCAGATCTTCTCCAAGTCAATAAGGTTTCAAGGCTGACGTTTGGCAACTCGAACCTTCAGCTCCCTCCACAGATTTAGGCAAAGGAAATATAGAGACAAAGTATTCCATACTTTGTCTCAGTATATCTATTGACTGGGTTGGAATTTCGGTGGGGGAGAGTGACATTGTCGCTTTAATAGTTTGCCTCTGCTGTGCAAAGGTTCCATCTCAGAACATGCTGAGGACAGCTACACAATTAGAGCACAGACCACAGTTTGTTTGTTTTTACTGTTACTTGTCTTTTAGCAATAGGCTCAACTGATTTTACTATATACCCAATAGCCATTGTGCTCATAAGGACTTATAACACATTGTGATCACAAAATGGAGTAAAAAGCCCAAATAGAATTCAATTTGTTTACATGGTGATTGCCATGTAAACAAATTAAAGACTCCAGACCCTTAAAGCACTTGACCTTGCTGAAATGCTTTATGTGTATAGAGTGTGTCCACTTTTTTTTAATTTACAAAGAGTGCATATTTCAATAGAGCTTGGCACTTTTAAAAAATTAAATTTGTAAAACTCCCATCTGTCAATCATAAAATAGGTCCTGTTACTTCCTGTTACTTCAGTGAAGCAAAACTGAAGAGGCAGGTAATTGCCCAGAGCGACTGTCTTACAAAGACTTCTCATTGAGCCGCATTAGGAAGTCTGTGATTGGACAGGCACAAAAACGCTTTGTTGGTGAAGGGATTTCCAAGGCAGCAGACAAGAGATCTGCAGTTTTTGTAAGCTGAACACTTAACAACCACAACATTAAAATCACCTGGCTATTATTGTGTACGTCTCCCTCGTGCTGCATGAACTTCACAAGATGTCTGAATGTGTGATCAGACCAGACGGGCTAGCCTTTGCTTCCCATGTGCATTAATGAACCTTGGGCACCTATGACCCTTATGCTGGTTCACCAGCTGTCCTATCTTGTACCACTTTTGGCAGGTACTAATCACTGCATACCCCCTCCCACTCCACCAAGGCTTGCTGTTTTAGAGATGTTCTTTCACCCATCACTATTTGGCCTTTGTCATTCCACCTGCCCATTTTTCCTGCTTCCAACAAATTAAATTCAAGAACTGACACTGCACTCGCTGCCGAATATGTCCCACCCCTTGACTGGTATCTTAACAATATGATCAATGTTGTTCACTCCACCTGTCAGAGGTTGTTATTTTATGGCTGATCAGTGTATACCTCCAAAGGAGAGAAAATTAAATGCATGTACATTCCTACTGGAGATATATACACACACTAAAAAGTGTTTATTTTCCCTGTATTTGGGCAGTGGAGTGTCCATTTAAAAAGCGGTCATTCCCTCATGCTTTAACTTACTTTCCTTCCATTGTTTTGTGATATTTGCATTGAAATAAATTATGAAGATGCTATATTCTGGGAGAATCCTTGCTGGTCCGGTGGGAGGTACACTTCGTAGTTTTCCCTCAGTTCTCTAGTGGTTCAGCGTGCTGCCATAGTAACCCACAACACTCTAAACACCATGGCTCATAGGATGAATATGCTGGTTCAGGCCTGGGCGCATTGCACTCTTCAGATTTAAAGATGGCCGTCAAGCATATGCAGCACACAATTCAAAATAAGATACTGGAATCCATGGCTAAACCAAGCAGAAGGCCCCAAAACCTGGCAGCATGACTAGACCTCATCCCAGAACAAAGGGCCTGAATGGTCGCTCTGCACCTGACCCCATATTATATGCCTAGGATAATCACTTATTTGTGGTTGCTACTTGCCATACAAACCAAAGTAATGCCTTACCTGCGTGGAATTCGAAAAACCCCACAGTATTTAACTATGAGCTATGCCTTTTTATGCAGTGCATTTATCACCCTCTAGACTTTCAAGATGGCTTCTAAATAGCAAACATGGATATGGATCCTTTCCTACAGGAAGACATGTTACATCATTTGCTAATACTCACTTACCAAAGAATGTAGGATGCCAAAAACTATTTGGAGCTACATGGCAGAGTTGGAAGTCAATGTTAGGTAAAGTTTAATATATAAACTGTATGAATTTACAGTGGCTAGCTCATCCTCAAATGTGTGGGTGAGAAGACCAGCAGCTGGACAACCGAATTTAGAGTTGTCCCTGGAACGGTGAACTACTATTGGGCAAATTCTTGGGCGTTTATAGGTTGTTTTAATGAATTACACCAAGAGACTGTGTTTAGTTGAAAATAGAGCATATTTAATCATTCTTAAATATCCCTTTAAAGAAAGAAAAGTTCATCGAGTGAGTGCTGGTTGCTGAAAAGCTTAAAGGGATTCTATAGTGCCAAGAAAACAAAGGAGTTGTTAATCCCCCTCCCTCACGGCACTTATTTGATTCCAGCGCCGATGTCCCTCTGTGCTGGGTTAGGCTCTCAATGAGCTGAAGTGGTCAGTGTGCCTACAGTGTCCCTTTAGAAAAACACAAACGTATTCCCTACGCTAGAGTATTAAAACCACCATCTAGCCCATTCTGGCCTCCCTAAATATAGTAAACTTACTTGTATTCAAATATGTAGCTGCTGCCTCTGACGTGCCTGCTGTCTGCAGGCATCAAAAGTGGTGTTTTGAGCAAATAGGAAATGCTGAGACTGTCAAGGAGGATCAAGGGCAGAGCGCCAGCACAAGTCAAACACAACCCTGGCCAATCAGCATCTCCTCGTCGAAATGCATTGAATAAATGCATCTCTAGGAGGAAAGTTCAGTGTCTGCATGCAGAGCGTGGATATACTGAATTGCAGTACTGGACATTGTGCAGCACTGACCCAGGAAGCACATCTAGTAACCATATGATGAGTGGCCATTGGAGGTATCCCTATGCTGTAATGTCAACACTGCCTTTAATCTGAAAAACAGTGTTTACTGCAAAAAGCCTGAAAGGAATGACTATACTCACCAGAACAAATACAATAAGCTCTAGTTGTTCTGGTGACTCTAGTGCCCATTTTAAAAGGATACTCTAATAACCAAAACAACATTAGCTTAAGAGACTGTTTTGCTGTCTAGATCAGGGGTAGGCAACCTTTCAGCAGCAGTGTGCTAATATTATACACTGAAATCATTTGAAGTCTTGGTGGTTTATTTTTAAATTTTATTAACTTGTGTTTATGTTGCTGTATGCTACTTGTGTTACGTATGGGTGCTGTGGCAGCTTTGTAGGTTTGTATTTGTGCACATGTGGAAGGATTGACAATGTGCATGAACAGCTTGTGGTATTGTGTGTTTGTGTCTAGGGGGCTGCCTGTGCGATTGTGAGTGGGTTCATCAATGACAATTTTGTGAAAAGTGTATTTGTAGACTGTATTTATAAAAATCTTGTGCATATGTGTCTTCAATACACACTCCCAGACAAAGATAAATAAGAGACAAATACATTATAGCCACACATGAGAACAACCCCCACCCCCACATTCATACTGCCAGAAAGACCCAGTGTGACACACATCCCAATGCATACTATCACCTACCAGCAGGAGGGAGGTTTGCCTGGGGAAATTAAACTAACTAGGTACACAGCGAGAGCAGGAGCTACAGAGGGTTACTCTCCTCCCACGCGGTTCCTACTTCACAAGCGCTAAGAAGTGACAAATTTGAGCTGCCATGAGTGCTTGTGCCTGATTGTAGCAAGTGCAATTTAGTTATCTGAAAAAAGGTTCTATGTAGATCTATCAGGAAAACTCCAGGAGGATCCTCAGATCTCACCTGAATATGTAATACCTGGCAGCCTAGCATGCCATAGGTTGCTGATCCCTGGTATCTATTATGCCTCTGAAGTCTTACTGCTCAATTCTCAGCCATTTAGAATTTAAATCACTAGTTTGATCTCTAGCAAAACCCTCCCTGGCTGTGACAGTCTTCAGGAAGAAAAAGACTCAAACATTTTTAATTTTCAAATTAAATCTTACAGAACAGGAGGCTCCTGCAGGCTATTAACAGAGCAGGAGAGAATGATAAAATACACTTTCTGGGAAATATAGGAAGTTTACAAATTACATCTCTCTACAGGAAGTGTGTGGAAAGCTGTGTAAGTCAGACGGGGAGGAGCAGCTAAAACCGTAAAAACAAAGCAAGTGAACGTCTAAATAGAGAACCGAGTGAGACTGCTGATGCATGATCTATATGCCAAAGCCACTTCAAGAAGCTAAATTTGTTTTGGTAACCTTCTCTTGGCAACCAGTAATTCTAATGTTGACCAGTTGAGTTACAAAAGTAAAGACCAACTCTGTTCTCCCACCCCCACCCCCCACACAAGCAAGTTGTAACAGTCAACAACATGCACAACATCCAGTCTACTTGGGGGGAAAAAAGAAGCAGCAAAATTAAAAAAAGGATTGGTTTATTACTTTTTTTGAAAAAGGTGGTAATTTATACATGATACAAAAATAGCATACATACGATTCATTTTACAAAACACTGCATTGAATAGTACAACAGCTGAGATATATACAAAGGTTCTGCATGCAATGTAAAACCTGAACAGAACTGAAGCACTAATTAACATACTACTAATTATAAGCAGAGGTTAGTAAATTCCTGAGGCAAATTTGTATAGTATGCAGCACAGATTGTCAAAGCCTTTGGCTTCAGCTCATATGAACGCTCAATTCTTATCCTGTAATGGTTGTCTGATGTTGATGGAAGTTTAACTACAAATAGAGGCTGGGCACCAAGGGTATACAAACATAAGAGGATATAGGCAAAAAAAAACAAAACAAAAAACTTTCCCTTAATGTCCGGATGCTTCAGAAGAGGCTTTGCCATTGAAAACAGAAAGGGGAAAAAAAAAAAAAAAAAAAAACGACATCAGATTGCTTCTGTATACCTTCTTGGTGCAGATAGCTTCTTTGTAGACACCAATCTTTTTTCAGTGATGCTTTTCCAGTTTTGCAAATATTAAAAAGACGGGAGGGGGTGGAAGGGCAGTTGAAAAATCAGTTGGCTTTCACCGAACTGGGATGTTAAATTTAAAGAAGCACATTAACATAAATGACTTCATAAAGGGATGGGTGATCATTGGGGTCTCTGTGGTAATACTAATGTATTTTCTTGTGAGCCTCCACAGGAGACATCTAATTAAACGTTTTCTTGGTCTTAAGGAAAACTGTTGCATCGAGTTCATAGCAGAATTGTGTGCAACATTAAACATGCCAAGGACAGACAAGCCAACCTGTAGTCCGGTAATCTACTCTGAGAAAGGGCTGGCAGGTTAAAGCAACGTGTTTGAATCAAGGGCTAACTTTTGGCATGGGCATTTTGTGGCACTGCATTTACCCACTATGCTCAGTAAGCCCTGTGGCTGTGAGACTCGTGAGAACCTGGATATACAAAGCAGGCATGCTAAGTTTTAGCCATCACTGGTCTTTACCATTAAGATACAAGGAGAAGAGGGGAAATTTTTTTTTTTTTTTACAATATACAATAACACAAACAACAACTTTCAAAACCAAGACACACAAATACTGATTTTTTTTTTGCAATTTTAAACAAATTTCAAATACAATGAATGAACATTTCATAGCATTACACAAGTCCATATAAAGAGGTTTTGTTTGTTTTTTTGTTTTTTAAATTTTTAGATTTTACAAATAAAGTCACACAAAAGTAGAAAGTAGAAAAAAAAAAAAGGCTGGATGTTTCCTAGATCATCCGAGTATACTCTAGGAAATTGATATTATCAGCGGTAAGACTGATACAGCACCAAGTTTGAAATGTAGACATGTTGAAATCTAGCAACACATGCAGTCTAAAACAAACAGTGAGCAGAATTATTATTGCCTGACATTTTATACCTGAAGTAGCGCTGTGGTTACCGGTTTAGAGTTAGCCTGATAGAGTTTTTAATGACACGGATATTATTTGTTGGCACTGGAGAAGAAGCATCTGGCAGCTCTTTACTGGGTAGACGCTATAATAGAAATTAGGATTAAAAGGTCTAGTTGCAAAAAAATAATATCACTTAAAACTTTCAGAGTATGAAGGCAAACAAAAATAGAATATTTTAGAATGAAGACACCACCTTTTTGCTGCTCACACTTGTAGCTTCATAAATATGGTTATGAACTGTATAAAAAGTAATACTTCAACTACAAATTGAATAAAATAATCTTGCAAATATTTTTTTGTAAGTTTAACATGATAAAAAATTAAAAAACAAAACTACAATTATGCCATGGTTTTGCCTTGATACCCAGAAATAATGAGTAGACAGTGGCTTTTTAACAGTTCTTAGGAAGGTAAGGTGCACCCGTAAGTTACCTTGTGTTGATTGAGGAGGGAAATTCACCAATGTGAATAAAAAGAATTCATAGATAGTACCTGTGATCTAGCACGGTCTATTGTAGGGATAGGCATAGGTTCTGCAATAGCTCTCTCCTGCAAAAGAGGAATGGAAATGAAATACATTTTAAATTAACTTAATAAATAATCAAACCAAAAATATTTAGCTGAAAAAAAAAAAAAAATACATTATGCAAAAAATCAAAATGACGCAAGCAGACACATAGACCCCGTCTCCCCTAAATAATTTGTGTATAGTGAAGTCCCGAACGGCGAACATATGCACTGTTCGGTCCGCCCCCTATGTCATCATTGAGTAAACTTTGACCCTGTACCTCACAGTCAGCAGACACATTCCAGCCAATCAGCAGCAGATCCTCCCTCCCAGACAGCTCACTAAGAATGCAGCTTCACAATGAATGTAAAATGGATGCGGTCCAGGAGGTGGGAGGGTCTGATGCTGATTGGCTGGAATATGTCTGCTGACTGTGAGGTACAGGGTCATAGTTTACTCAATGATGACATAGGGGGCGGACCGAACAGCGCATATGTTCGCCGTCCGCAGCAAACCGTTCGGAACATCACTATTTGTGTATTATGGAAAATACAGTTTTTGTTGACTTTTCTAATTCAGAGAACAGGTTTCTGTAGCCTGCTCTTCCATAATAAAACTGACAGCTTTACGTTAGTTAAGTATGGTTCCATTTTTTGTTTTCTCCTATTTAAGCTAGATGCAAGAAAATCACCTTAAAATGTTTGTGTTGTGAAGAGGTCTGACCACTATGCTTTCCTAGTACATTATTTAGGTCACAAACTTAAAATGTACGTTGTTAGGCTGTCAATTACAATGAAATCAATTTCTCTGAATCTTTTAACACACCTTTGAACACCGGCACGTTGGAAGGCTGAAGGAAAATTCACAAGAGGAAGAATACAAACATACAACTAAAATGACAATATCAAGGTGTACAAAGATAGGCAGACACACTTTTACAGGCAACAAGGTAAATTACTTTTAAGGAACACTATAGTGCCAGGAAAACAAACTAGTTTTCCTGGTACTATAGGGTTATTAGGTGTCCCCCCCCACCCCCCTCATGGCACCCCTTCAGCCACTTACCTTAATCCGCACGCATTCCAACCACCCCATAGGCAAGCATTACTCAATGTTTTCCTATGGACGCCAGTGTCATCTCAGTGTAATTTTCACAGTGAGAAATGTTGAAGCACCTCTAGCAGCTGTTGGTGAGACAGGCACCCGATTCTGGATAAACCCTCAGCGTAAGCATAGCAGTTTCTCTGAAACTGCTATGTTTACAGCTGCAGGGTTAAAACCAGGGCTGAAGGGCTCATTGAGCTGAAGTGGTCTGGGTGCCTATAGTGGTCTTTAACCAATTTGTGATGACAAATTTGTAATATTGTCCTTTATTAGAATTCCAAAACCTTAATATACACAGTGTGCAGCCAAAGTGAGAATACACCAATTGCCATCATCTTCCAGATCTGTGCAAAGGAAATTCTGACAAGGAAAACAAGTAGTCCAACAGGTTCCAAATTTAAGGCAGTTTATTTGAACCAGGAACTACACCGCAATGTTTCAGCCCTAGCAGGGCTTTTCTCAAGGGCTAGGGCTGAAATGTTGCTGTGTAGTTCCTGGTTCAAATAAACTGCCTTAAATTTGAAGGGCCACGTCTGCTAGGACGGATAACAGAGCTCCTAAGGTAGATGAAGACCGTGCCCCAACAACCAAGGGTCACCTAGAACACCTCCTGAATGAGCTCCATACAATGTTCCAAGCTGACTGTGCAAAGATAAAGGAGGATATGCATACCCTCACCGGCCGCGTAAAATCAGTGGAGAAAGAAGCTATGACGACTCGTCAGACTCAACATGATACTGCCATAATCACCCAGCAGCTCACACAGCAACATGCAGCATTCACGCCTGGTAGCAGGCCTGGAAGACCATGCGTCAGCAAAACCTGAAGATCGGAGGGAGGGGGCATAGAACAGTCCACACCTCTTCATTAACCATATAGTATTCTTGTAAACTATGTGTAGCAACTGTCAGGCAAGAGAGCAGTGAAAAAGCCTTCAGAACTATTTACACTCTTCACCTTTTATACAATACCACTCACGATTCTTAAGACTAAGCATACACACACCTTTTCAGTGTCTTTTACCCTTTTGGGAGACTCTTCCAAAGTAGGAGGATGAGCCCTTTTGGCAGCAGCACTTTTTGGGCTAAGGCTTGTTGATCCATTCTGGAGAGGCTGATCCTGAGAATGTCTGGGAGGAGATGGAAGACGTGGAACAACATTTAACCCTACTACTGTTGGAATGGTGCAACCAGATGGGACCTCATGATTCTTTGTTGCAGCAGAATCAGACACTGAACAATAAAGGAAGAAAATATTTAAAGTTTGTTTAAAAAAAAAAAAAAAACACTGAACATAAGTTTGAAAATCGAACATTCCATTGTACTCATAACAAACACTTACTTAATCCAATAACAGGAATTGACAATCCTTGAGCAATCTGTGAAGGCATGTCTGCTGGCTTATGGTTACTATGGAACAGACCTGAAGATATGTTCTCTGCCATAGCTCTCCTAAAGTAAAATATTATGAGTTAGCATGGATGAAAGACACCAAATATAAAAGCATAAAGTCATTTACACAGAATGAGAGAAACTTTACAAACATGGATATTTGCTTAATATCTACCTCCGTGCTTCTGGTAGAGGGGGACTAGAAGATTTGGAAACATTGTTACACGAGGAAGGTGAATCACAAGGTGTCCCAGTGTCAGTGTCTCTAGAACTGTCCAAGTAATTTCCATCCAAAGATGACCTTTTAGACAATAATCCAGAAGTCGACCTGCTGATATCTGGAATACTTTGCTACAAGAGAGATTTCAAGTTGGTAAATACAAACTAGTCAAATTTATTCTTATTTGTCCAACGGGCGAGGTTTTGTGAATTTTCTGAAGAGAGCACAGGTTAATCAAAGTCACTTGTACTCAAGCTATGTCCAGAAAACCTGGCCCGTTTGTGGCAATGATTAAGTACCTTTTTTCTCTTTTGGAGCATTTCTGCAGGTAGGTAATAGTGGAGCTGCTTCTTCTTAACATGGGTTGCTTCGATCTTCATTCCCTTCTTCAGCATGTTTATATTATTTGCCTGCCTATATACTGTAATAGAAACATTTGCTAGACCATGACAATATTTAGACCTCCAAAATGGTCTCTGCCCTTGAGAACAGACGTGCTATTCAATAAATCTCCATGGTTCAGTATAATCAGTTAAAATAACACAGAGTATGTGACAATGCTCTGTCCTGTAGAGCGGTGCTTGCATCAAAATGCAAGGGAGAAGATACACAGGTTAGTATAATGGTAAATTAATACAACACGCCTAGTTCAATTGCTAGACAACCAGGGAAACGGGCTTTGGAAAATTCCAAAAAATGAAAAAGTTTAAAGCAAATAAACTCTATAAAAATGTTGAATACTAACATGTGTACTCACGTTGGTATATTTTCTTGTGCAACCATTTAGGACAATGTCCTAAAACAATCTGGTGGGCGTTATTCCCATGTATGGAATAAATTTGGAGGTGGGTATGGAAGACAGGTAAGACATTAAAGGTGGGCGATTTAGTGGTGTGGATGTTCGGGCAAGTTAAAGTCCAGCAAGCAAGGGACGAAGGCATTTACAGTTGCTTGACCAGTAAAATTATAAAAGCTTAAGATAACCTAGTTACGCTTGTTCTGGATTACTCCTATAATAAAAAAAAAAAAGCTAAATTATGACTGCAGTAAATTCTGAACTCAAATTACTTTTCATATGTATCTTTTGTATAGATATATACTTCAAACTATGAGCATGATTGGATGGCTACACCTGCTAATATATGAGCCCTGGAACAAAATCATACCAGATTTATGGTTTAGCGCTTTGCTACTGTAACAAAATCCAATTAAAAATACCTGTATATGTGTACATGTATACATGTATAGCGGGAAAAGAGATCTTACCTGTGTCAGTAAACAACTGAATATCATGTGTTAAATCTATATTAACACTTTCAGCGTTCTCCACCTTTTTAAAAATAATCCCAAGGAACCACAAGGATATATATTCATTGCTGAAATAGAAAAAAATGTTAATAGATCACATGGAAATATGCACTTCTCCAAATCTTTGCAACATTTTAAACAAATGAGAAGCATTTTTCAAATCAGCTTGACCCTTCAAAACTACTTCCTAAGTTTAGGGAGACTTTGTGATGCGCTAACTGAAGTATCAGACAAAAGACAATGTAAAAGGAATGAAACATGGGATGAGCAATCAGGTAACAACCTACATGTGTACTCAACGACTTGCTAATGATTCTGGAGTATTTGCTGTGTGTTACACCTCTGACCTTTTTTACTATATTGCATTGGAATATGCTGGTAATGTCTAACCTGTTAACTTTTTGCCTTTGATATTGCTCGTATTGTCCTGTTTTAATTTAAAAGTACAGATTGTAAATAAACAAAACAAACTATTCATTAAAAGTCAGTTTAATGTACTGATAAATATTTCTTGTAAGAAAACTGCCAAGATATCCCAAGCTGTAGAACGGATGTTCGGAGTTACTTCTATTTAGAGGAGATGATGACAATCCTAGGCATTATAGGTATTTCCAAAACCAAAAAACAAAACCTAAATTTGATTTAATGCACAGGTTGTACTTACTCTTTATTTGCTGGAAAGGATTGTGGGTTTACATGTGCAAGAGTAATATACTCATTTCTTTCCAAGTTCCCAACCAGCACACGGATTTTTGATTCCACCAAACCAACCCTAAACAAAATAGAAACACAGAGTCAAGTTTGTTCAGTGTGTCCAGCCTTGGCCCTTTAAGTTTTAAAATACAAAACATTCTCTGATAGCCTCAGGACTCCTAGTACCATAACAACTACAATGAGCTGTGCAGTGTTTCTGGAGCTTAGAGTGCCCCTTGCATGACCCCCACCAAAAACAAAACAAAACTAGAATATGCTAATTGTGGCATATTAGAACAGGTTGATTTCTCACCCAAATCCTTGATCTAATTTAAATAGACATTGAACTCACTACAACAACGTCTTGTAACAAGTTGTTTTAGTGCTGAAAGATGTTCTGCATTTTTAGCCTTCAAATTCCTATATTTTCATAATTTGAATGCTTGGCAGTGCAGATTCAAGCCATACCTCCAAGTCCCATGGATAGAAGAGAGGGGACTTACTTCCCAGTGGTCATACCCAGGAATACTGTGACATACAGTGCGGTTTGTTCTAGAGAATGATTACATTTAAAGATTCGCTATGACAAGAGAATCATTTTCAGATTGCGTCAAACATGCGCCTAGGGTCCCCAGTGCTACTCTACGATAAGAATTGGATTGGACCTTCATCCTGGAGGCACAACTGCAGGAGGACATTACAAAAGAAGGAAAGGGTGAGTAAAATTATTTTGCAACGCACATGGGTGGGGCACCTGCCAATCAATAGGGAAAGTTGTACTATAACTGCAGAAATACACATTCGTATTCCTAACATCCGTATAAGGAAAAAAATCATGTGCAACATAGCAATGAGGCGCTTTTCAATGTTTTTAAGTGAAGTTGCATTTTATGTGTTTTCAAAAGCATTATCTTAATGTGTGTTTATGATCACATTTATGGAAGAATACACAAATAAAAAAAAGTCACCCATTTATCCTATAAATTGAGGTCATGTAAATTCACTACAAAAATTAGATAAGAAAATAACTTTTTAAAAATTCATAGACAAACTTACCATTCAAGATGATGTTCTTCAGTGGATGCACTAGCAGTTAAGACAATATAATGTCTAGAAAACAGGAGAGAGGAAAAAAGAAAATTAAGAAAAATTGCAGAGACTGTTTAGAGCACATTTTTAAAATAGAATTTTCAGTGTGATTTAGTTGGATTTTTTAATACAAAAAAAATATGATTGTAAAAACTGAATAGAAATTACATAGATTGATAGGTTGATAAATGAATTCCTTAAAAAGGAACGTTTTTTTATATTAAAGGGACACTAGTCACCAGTGCAACTACATGTATTCCTGACCCTATAGAGTTAACACAACCATCTAGCCCCCCTGGGCCCCTCATGCCTCCAAATATAGTAAAAATCTTACTGTACTCAAGCCTGAAGCTGTAAATATGCATGCCGTTAGACTCAGGAAAAACAAGCAGTCTGCTGACATGTGATAGCCTGATCCAATCACAGTGCTTCCCCGTAGGATTGGCTGAGACTGACGAGGCAGATCAGGGGCAGAGCCAGCATGATTCAAACACAGCCCTGGCCAATCAGCATCTACTCATAGAGATGAATTAAATCAATGAATCTCTGAGGAAAGTTCAGTGTCTGCATGCAGTAGGAGGAGATAGTGAATCACAGGATGCTTGTGCACAGCAGATGAGTGGATGGAGGCATATTTAAGCTGATTAAGCTGAAGTTAGTGTCCCTTTAATGTTTACATATCACTATATATACCAAATATGCTTTGTGAGTAGTGAAAAAAATGTAATGCAGAAATCTACACTTTATCTTGTAACTGGGTGCCTCAATCTTAGCGCCTTGTCAATCGTGGTTATAAGCTCTATCCTTTACACCTGGCAATAAGCATATAGAATATAATTTCTATTTTCCCCTCTTCATTTGCAAGAATGTTGGTGACTGCTGCATCTAAACTGGATTATGTCGCCATTTGTTAAACATTTAATTAACTAATGGAAAACCGAGCATATGAGGGGAAGTTAACACAAGCTATAGGTGATCTTTTGCTAAAGGACCACTATAGTGCCAGGAAAACACTTGTTTTCCTGGCACTATAGTGCCCTGAGGGTGCCCCCACCCTCAGGGTCCCCCTCCCGCTGGGCTCTGGGGAGAGGAAAGGGGTTACCTTTTTTCCAGCGCCGGGCGGGGAGCTCTCCTCTCCGCCTCTTCGGCTGAATGCGCATGCGTTGCAGGAGCTGCACGCACATTCAGCCAGTCTCATAGGAAAGCATTCATAATGCTTTCCTATGGACACTGGCGTCTTCTCACTGATTTTCACAGTGAGAAGCACGCAAATGCCTCTAGCGGCTGTCAATGAGACAGCCACTAGAGGCTTTAGAGGCTGGATTAACCCTATTATAAACATAGCAGTTTCTCTGAAACTGCTATGTTTATTAAAAAAATGGGTTAATCCTAGAGGGACCTGGCACCCAGACCACTTCATTAAGCTGAAGTGGTCTGGGTGCCTAGAGTGGTCCTTTAACATGTGTAAACTTCAGAGAAGGGACAGTTCCCCCTTTAAGTCAACTGATGCAGAACATATAAGAAAAGAAAGAAAACAGATTGAGGGGAAAACATTATGGATCAATTGTCTACACAACTATCAGACACCTCTTCAACATGTTCGTCTGCATGCGTCAGTTTTAGGCCAAAATAGCTAAACTAGAACCATAGTTGACTTTGGAGATTTCTTTCCTCAATTTTGCAATAAACATTTAACATTCACTTTTGATTCCAAACCGAACTATTCACAGTATAAAAAACAAAAATGTTTTTTTAAATGATGAGAATTTCGTACTTGTACTTCTGGAAAAAGTTTGGGGGTTCAAACAGCTTTGACCAGTCTGCCTTTCCACGCAGAATTTCATCAGTAACTAAAAGACCTTTAAAGTAAATATGAAAGAAAGCAAAACATTAAAATACATTTTTCATGTCATTCATCCTCTGAAGATACACTCTTCTAAACACTAACAAGCCATAATGCATTTGCACATTAAACGGTTAAAGTGATAAAAAAAATTTTTAACATATCAATACCTGACCCATTATGAGGCCATTGATAAAGCCAAGAAGGCAACTCCCTCCCCCCAATAAAAATGCACAAAAATCCTGATTAACCAAGTGTCTGCAATACAGAGTAAATGTAGGAGGCAGTGGTCCCCTTCTACTTAGTAAGATGCTAATGGATAAAAGTTGGGTCCAGCATATGTACAAGCACTTCACTCATCTCTATAGGTAATAAAACAGTCTTACCCATGCATACGATTTTCTCTGAGAGTAATGACAAAAAAATCTCATGGGTAAAGGTATACTACAAATAATGTGGGCTTCCTCCAGGTTTGTGTTGGAGTGAAAACACACCTCCTGCACACGTGACCTAGCTGTTGAATAAAAGTGTGTGAGAGTGGGGAGGGATTTGCAAGTGCCAGTCGAATATTAACCCAGGTATATAATTAGCTACGCAATTGGAAGAACCCTTTATATATAAAAAAAACAAACAAAAAAAAAACAGGGATTAGCAGCAAGATTCTCATTCACACACTGGTTTGTGGCTTTGAAAAGGATGCTTTATTTATAGATTATATCATTTCTAAAACTATAAAGGCTCAACATTACCCATCACATGACAACAAGGGTAATACTAGGGTGGGCTAAATTTCCAATGTAAATTTTGAGCCTTGATATAATACTGCTTTAAACATCAGGCTTTTAATTTTGATTCATGCTCTTTACAAATTGCATTTGGTATCTGTCAATTACCATGGTTATTCACTTAAGTAACAATTCAAGATGATTTCAAATTTAAAGTCTAGAGACTTAGAGAATTTTTACAGCTCGGCTATTTTAACCTTAAAATTTAAATTCACCCTGAATTCTCAGTTTAGTGAAGAACCCAGTAAATGTAAAATAAAAAGTTATTTAAAAAAACAAACAAAAACAAACTTAAGTACTTAAGTCTCTTCTTCAAAATCTGCTTTCCAAAGGAATGTTTGACTTACCTTGTTTAAATTCCTCCATCATAACGGTGCGTGTTGAGATGGATGCATTGTATGTAGAGTTTTGCTGAGGATACGCTGGGGTTATTATAGGCATTAAGTGATAACGGTCAGCTGGGTTGACCTGAAAGTAGAAGAAAAATAAATTTATGATTCAAACAATTAAAAAATACAAAATAAAATTACCAAATAAATTATATATATATATATATATATATATATATATATATATATTTTTTTTTTTTAATGTATCATTTGTCACATACTCTTGGGTCCCAAACTGGTAAATTCAGATTACTATCTTCTGGCTGTTTTAATAAAACAGGTTTTGGCCATTCCCTAAAAGAGAAATTAAAATAAAAAAATAATAGAATCTATGAATGAATCAAACCAGAAAATGTATGCTCACAATAAAACATTTGTGTAAATGGAAACCTGCATTTCCACTTACCACTTTGAAAAAACAAGGAAGAACTTGTGTACAAGAGTTGCTGCCACTGCATTTGGGTACAGCTGACATGTCCGAGCAACCAACATGGCCCAGGAAACTCCTCCAAGAAACCCCAACATATTAGAGTAGATACCACGCCCTGTAAAAGCGTGATAAAGGATAAATGAGGCAGGCTTTATCGCGCACGTTTAAGGGAGAAAAATGTGAACAGGCAGATATATCCACACTTACTTTTTGCCCACAGTTTGACTGCTCTTAGGGTTAGTCTGAAGTTCTCTTTATTTGGTACTAAATGGAGAATTTCATCTGTGACCCTGCAACCTATTAGAAAAAAAAATTATCTTTCAGTAACACATGCATAAACTACACACTAAAGGATTCCATAACAATCCAAGCAAAATAAGAAAGATTTGATACAAATTAATTCCATCTCAAATGGATGTAAATTACTAATCTATTTAAAATGACAAACTGTACACTAGACAGAAAATAGCCCAGATTTTAAACATTAAGAGGTACACTTCTGGTAGGGCCAGCACAACCATTAGATGGAGGCATCTGCATTGATAATGCATGGTCAGGTAGCTAAAATGACCCAACAAACGTGCAGACCAAAAAGCTGCATCCACTGGACTACCAGGAAGCATCACAGCCTGTCAGATCACCAGAGGAAAGAATTCTCCTTCCTTAAAGATAAGCAGGAGGTGGTGTAGGGAAAGTCTCCCTTATAGACACCACAAGAAGCCTCCCCACACAGATTTCATCAAACAAAAATGCAATGTACAGCCTGCAAACTCTAAACTATTCTGAATCAGAAATGTTGTGGGGAAAAAAAATAAAAAAATAAGGAAATAAAAAGATGAGAAATGTGAATGGAGGTAGATGTGGAATAAACTTTGCATAGTGAGGCAGAAATTATTGTACTTGCTCTGACAACAGGTGGTAGCTGACTCCATGCTTCAATTATGCATTGAAAAGGCAAGTGAAAGCATAATAAAGAAACGACACTCTGTTCTCTCCATTAGCACGACCATTTATGTTGTCCTTGGACAGGCAAAGCTCTTACCTAACATGATCACTGCTTTGCATGGTATTCACATTGCAATTATATGAGTAATCAAGGTAATACTTCTCCCAACCAAAGACCACTTACATGGCAGTGCTCAGGGAGGGAACGCCATGGGGACTGGAAGTGTTTATATAAACATGTTCATCTCTGAATTTCCCTTAGATGCTACATATCTGCAGGTAACGGCAGGTGACTGAAATAATGTATTTTAAGCCAGGGTTTCAATTTTTTTAATTTAACAAGTGAATGGTGAATTTCTTCTTCATGCCACACAAATTGAATCATTTTGAACTCTTCCAATATACTAGGCTGCAGATAGTCAATTGTTGCACAATTCACTGTACATACCATTTAAACTTCTTATACATCGTATGTCCAAATTTCTCAGACGTGAATCATCTCGTAAATCCAAATTATCTGGAATACACTGCAAGGGCAGTCGTGCAAAAACCAAATCAATCTTGAATAAAGGGAGGGAAAAGAAGCACAACCTTAGAGATATACAATTGTGACATTTCCATAGCAACTAAAAAAAAACAACCAACCACAGAATTTTGAGTAATCATGCTATAAACTATACCTCAATATTCAGGTACTCAAACTTTATAACTGGTACATAGGCATCTTCCACAGCCTACAAGAAGAGAGAAAAAAAAATAAAAGTTTAAAACAAAAATCCCCCACAAACTATGCTTTCCACATACATTTGATTTAAAAAGAACAGTATGTATCAACAACCAATATAAACACCCCACCAGCACACGTGACTTTGGAAGCCCGGAATGTTATATTTCGGACTTCCAATTGTCAATCCTGTGCTAAAAAAAAAAAATTTTTAATTAAAATATATATATTACACCTGTCAGCACGCACTGTACATTACCAACAAATATCGTTAGCTACTCCCTTGCAGTCAGTGCAGTCCCCCATTTGATGACCGCTTTTAAAAAATATATAAAAATACCCTACCTCTCCAGTTCCGAGCATGCAAATGCACTCTGAGGCCTGTGAAACGGTCCAATCAGAAGCTTCTCTATGAGGAGTATTAGATTGGACCACGCAAGGCCCTTAGTGACTAAAGAGTGGAGACTCGCACCGGGAGCAACTGGCCATATCGCCACAGCCCTAATTGCACCAACAAACCTACATAGGGGGTGGTAATTATAGAACGTTATATTAGGCGAACAATTGTAACAGTTTTAGAAATGTCAAACTTGTTTAACTGCACAAGAGGTTTGCTTTGTTTCAAGTGAGTTATTCTCATTTGATTCCCATATTTAATTTATAAAGACGAGAGAAGGAGCGTGAAGTATAAAGCTCCCTCCTACTAAGCAAATTGTGATATTCCCACAAAGTAACACGAACACGCCTTTTCACTTAGTGTGATTTGTTTGGAATTTAAAAAAGCCAAAACGGAAAACAAACTTACCCTCAGATTTTTTACTCCATCCACATGCTTCAACTTCTCAACAAATGATTGGAAAAAATCTGCACGGTCAACATGTCGTGGAGCAACACAGAGGGCATCAATATCAGCCCCTTTAGAGAAAAAAAAAATACAGTCAATGTATGCAATTTCAATGAACAAAGCACACATTACAAAGGAAGACTGCAAACCTTTTGTATGTACCCCAAGCCGGTATGAACCAAAGGTAAAGATTTTACCACCGACAGCAGATATGACAATAGGAGGAAGACTCTGCGAAAATAAGAGTAAATGGATGTTTATTAGACATGTTCATTGTGCTATGCAGTGTGCTTAGAGGAACATTTAAAACACCATATCACCCCTATTATTTTGGATTTTTTTTATTTTAGAATATATTTATTTATGCCATTCATTTTCTTCTTACAGGGGAAAAAAAAATAAAAATCTTAGAACATATTTATCGTGGCAACTGCTTAACAGGTCCGAATCCACAGCCAAGAAAGCCACGTTTTGAATCGCAAAGCTACTTCCGGTTGTGAGTTCAGTGGTTATGAGGCAAACTCTAGCTATGTACACAAACTGTAGGAACTTTAAGAGTAAATATCCCTATTTTTTTTAGAAATATGTAAGTTGTATTATTTTGCTTACTGCACGGTTGTCGAGAGAGCACAATATTTCTATTTTTGTTTCACATAATACCGTTGACTACACTTGGCCGAATGCTTTCCTAGAGTCTGCACTGTATCACTTCACGCTATTCTATTAGAGCCACTTGGGGCTCTGAAACATGCTAGTGCTTTACTTTATACATAACTATCCAAGTGTGCATGATGTACTAACAATATAATGTGACTGTATTACTGAGGATCTATACGGTCATAAGAAAATGTGCATATACCCTAAGATGGGGATAGTTCCGCTCAAACTCAACACTATAGAGCTGGTTTGGAGCTCAATTAAAAAGCAAGTGGCTCTTCACATTAATTCAGTCCATAATATCTAGATATACTCCACCATTGGACTGTTTTTGTTTTGCATATCTAACTACTTGAAGCACAACTACCAACCTACTGTGAATAATAACCATTACTCTAGCCAAGAAGAGAACCTTGGCAGGACTGTTGCGGCTATTTATTAAATGTTTAAACCCTTGGTTTGTTGTTATTTTTACTTTTAACACCTTAATGACCAGACTGCTTTTCAATTTTCTTACCGTTTGGGACCAGTGCTGGTTTTACATTTCTGCATTGTGTGTTTAGCTGTAATTGTCTTCTTACCATCTTTCTAAAGATACCATTATTTTCATCTTATCATATATTTTACTAATTTTTTTTATTTATTATAAAATACGATGAATTTAACTTAACTTTGACCCCCAATATCTGTTACGCATCTACAACTGCCAAAAAACACCCTTGCTAAATAGTTTCTAAATTTTGTCCTGAGTTTAGAAATACCCAATGTTAACATGTTCTTAGCTTTTTTTTTTTTGCAAGTTATAGGGCAATAGGTACAAGTAGCACTTTGCCATTTCCAAACCATTTCCCCCCAAAATTTTACGCAAGTTACATTGAATCCCTGAATAACCGTTCACATGTATATTTTTTTTTAAAAAGACGACAACCCAAGGTATTAAAACTTGGGGCATTTTTACTCTTACCAGCAATCTATGCAAAAAATTTTAAAAAATAAAATTGGTAATTTTTTTTGACACACACCGCAATTTAAGAATACATGTAAGGAGAACTTTAAGGGTTACTGCCAAAGAACATCCCAATGTGTGTTCAGCAACATCTGAGTACGGTGATACCACCCATGTATAGATGTGTCGGGTTCTCTGGGGGCTAAAAGACCTTATTTGGAGGGTGCACATTCCCGTTTTCCAACTTGGAATTTTCACAGCTGGTCCTATTTGGGACATTTTTGAAGCTGGACAATGTAATTTACATATTTACATATATATATATATATATATATATATATATATATATATATATATATATATATATATATATATATATATATATATATATATATATATATATAAGTTTGGTCCTTAAGGGGTTAAAAACATGCGGATCGCCGATCCAAGTGAGTACCCGGGTAATTTTAGCCACAGACGCGCAGGGTACGTCCGCGGTCATTATCTAGCTTTTTTGTCAGACGTACCGTGCACGTCCAAAATCGGAAATGGGTTTAACAAATATACAAATTAATATAAAGAGAAAAAAAATAAACTTTAAAAACAATGTAATAAATGTTTATAAATTTACTATACACAGTCAGATTCCATTATTTGGCATTAAACTGAGCGAGGTGAGTTTTAACATCCTTTACTTGGCATGCTTAACAACTAGCAGAGTTTCAACATTCTCTCTTTGGCATACTACTCAACTAGGGGAGTTTCATCAGCCTCTCCCCATCCACTATTCCAGTCCACTGATGACAGAAACTGGGCATAATTTTGTAGCACCAACAAGTTCCACATTCTCCCTGACTAATCCAGGAGGGTGAGAAACTATACTAGATAATCCACTGCATTAATTACACTGATCAGACTCCCTCTTCTCCTCCCATCAGAATTATGCAAGGTGAATAGATCTTTCAACTGCACGTGTGAGACTCAAACATTTCCAATGCACTTTTCCAGCATTCCCAGAGATAGGACACTGATTGGTTAAATCAGTGTCTTTCTTGGAGTAGGTGTAAAAAGCATAAGAAAGAAGCAGTTAAATATGAAAAAAAAAAAATTTTTTAAAAATCAATCATATGTACCTGCTTTTTTTACAGCCTGCAAAGTGAGGAAATGGTCTCATTCAAAGCTAAAGCTTTTGAATGAGAGTTGTCTCAAAGTGATGCATGTCCCTTTAACTAGCAATTTCTCATCGGTTTGTATATCTGACTTCAGAGTCATTGCTATTGTCCATTTCCTACATTTTGGGGAAATACACATTTTACATATGAATGGCTAGTATCACGTCAAGGCTTTTACAGTTAAAGTTGTCCCTTACCTTGCTTTCCCCAAGATCAGCAATCCATTCTTTGACCAGATCATTTAATTTACCCAAAACAACCATCCTAAATGGGGGGAGGTGGAGAACAAAAAAGCAAAATGTTAGTTTCTTTTTTGAGAAAGTCTTTAGCAGATCTAGGTGTCTTCATAGAGTTTGGACAGAGATAGGGATATTTAATTAATATAGATTAAATGCATCTGTGGTTGGTGAGGTCTTACCACAGATCAGAGGAACAATTAAATACATAATTGCTGCCAAGTAAAGATATAGAGCTAGATTTATTGAATATAGAAACAAACTACAATGTTGTACAATATCTCTATATAGAGCCTCTTTCAACTTAATGAAGATGGACATGGGAAGATTTCAGAACTGAATGTTTACTACTATAATTAGGCTTGAGGAAGACACAAATCAATGCAAACACTAAATAAATAATTCAAATGACACGCATTGAAGTCTAAAATCAAAATAACCTTTAAGGGAGAAAACAAAAACTAGTAAGCATCACACACAAATCTCTATAGAAAAAAAAACAAAAAAACCCACAACTTACGCATACTAAGATTTGTAAGCAGAAAAGGATCACTAAAGCAAGACAAAAATCCAGGATCTATCTACCTATTTCAAGGTGGAGCAGTCCAGGTTTATTTAAACAGTGGACAGTCACTTCTCACAGCAGTTCAAAGTAACAAACAACTAGTCGGTGTTGACTGAAAGCTGGGAGAAAAACCTATCTATAAATAAGTTTTGTCCTTATCGATACACTTGCTAGCACAATTATAGATCGAATCATATACTCAATCTAATGAGCATAAGTGTTGACTGCATGACAAGTCCCTTTTAATCCGAAGCAGCCATCACTCACAATGTTTGTGTTTATGATGAGCTAACTTAAATTTTAAATGAAGTCAATCAAATTTGAGAATGGGAAATGTACAAGGAAAAGCCACCAACCTGTGTCTGAGCTCTTCACCATCTTCGAATACACCAAAAGGCCTCATTGCTTCGATCAACTTCTGTGTGTAGATATGATCAATTTCTTTGGGACCAGCACAACTAATTGCTGATGTGATGCCATACTGCTTCAGGGGCTGGACATCCAGCACAGAGCTCCTGTTTAACAAAACAAATAAAACTAGGTTTTTAGCATCTCTAGAATAATCAAAATGTCTAATATTTTCAGAATACATTTTGAGCTTTTATTGTCATTGGAACTACCATAATGGGTCTGAAAGAGAAAGCCACTAGACCAGGGATAGGCAACCTTCGGCACCCCAGATGTTATGGACTCATCCCCCATAATGCTTTGACACCGTAATGCTGGCAAAGCATCATGGGAGGTGTAGTCCAAAACATTGCCTATGCCTGCACTAGACCGCAACTTAACACAGTAGTAGCCAACTATCAAAGGCTAGCAAAGCAGTTGAAGGTTTCTAGTTGGCCAATGCCACTTATAGGCCTCTTTCAAACCTGCTCCATTTGAAAGACACCTATAAGCACCTAATCCTTGCATTACCTTTTGTGATTCTTTGAACTCTTGTTGTCTATAAAAAGTTAGAGCGCTATGATGTACTAACACATGCTACAGGCAGGTGGAATACCAGTCACCCGACAGCTGGGACATTTAGTTCCAGACACGCTTTTTTTCTTCCTTTAACCCTGCTGCAGGGAAGCTGCAAGTCTGCTATTGAGGCCAGGGAAAAGAGTGTTATCAGCACCTCTAGTGGGGCTAGACCACAGTAAATCATTGCCACTCATGGTCCCGGTGCTCCGCTAATGAGCCAGTGCACAGCTATCAGTATTTCCAGACTGTTTTCTGAATCACTGTGCGCTGGGACTGCGAGAGAGCGATTACAAACATCAGATGTGCAGAACACATGCTCCCAACTAGACTGACAGGAGTTTAATCCCCACTAAACTACCAGGGATACAGGACCACCAGGAATTAGAGCCCCTTCCCTGCAAAAAGCTGAGCAGGAGGTGGCAAAAATCACAGAGCACACAAACCCATCACATACAGCCAACAGACCGCACACTAGTTACACTTCCAGCACCATCTATGCATATTATCGGAATCAGAGAATGAGAAATACAGGGGTGTTAACTAAATTCCAAACAAATCATGTATGTTTTAGGACGGGCCCCAACCTGAAAATATTTTCATTGGGCTACCACTTCAGTTTTTGTACCAATATATTTTTCTTTTTTTTATTGCCACGCCCTTAAGTGGGCCAATACTAAAAAAGCTTAGAGTTGTGTAAAGGCTTTCTGCCATTAGAGATGGGGGCAGAAATGCTTGCGCCAGCCACGCATGGATCTGTCCAGTATGAACTTTTGGAAGGCTTGAATAACAACAAATAGTTTGGCCTGCCACCAAATAGTCCTGAAACTAGCGCAGTGTACTGCTTAAAAATAAATTCCCAAGCAACAGTTGCAATAAGGTCTTGCCATTTAAATTAACTGTGGAGATATTACAGAACACTATATACACCGTTTGTAACCAATAAAACATATCAACTTTAATGTTGGTTTCAACAAGGAAAACAATTTTACTTTGGTACATCTAATGGTTTTTTAAGCTATTGCTTTGAGGTTATACGATTTGCGAAAACTGACAACTTTTTGTTATTCCACTTCTGCCACTGTTGCGATCTTATCAGACCAAGATAAACACAAAGAAATTAGGAAAGTCTACATACCAGGCCATAATAACTTCAAGTGGGGTTTAAAGGGTGTATGTTATTATTGGAATTTATGTAATGTAAGTTTTAACACTCCAAAGAACACAAAGTTAAATTCAAATATTGCTAATTTAAGCTAAAGTATTTCCCATTTCTTTTATATGTGCAGCAATAAAATTTGATAAGGTCCATTAAACAGTAAGCTTTTCTCTGGATTATTCTAACACTTCTCACTAGTTCAAGGAAACAAAGGAACCTACTTGATCATTGCGAGATGAAGCTTTAGGACAGGTCAAAAAAACTCCAGAAGGCGAGAAAGGACTGCACATAGGCCAAGTGCCCAGAATATTTGCACTTCCTTTTAAGGTCTTTGAACAGTCGTTTTAACTTGTAAGTACTCAATGTACTTACTCCCCCACCTAAACAAGTCTGTCTACACCCCTGCAAAAACACAGAAACAGCCTTGAAATCTAACCACTGTGATATCTTAAAGTTGGCAGGCAGCAATGTGCTAGTGAGCAACAAACACTGCCACAGTCTCAAAACACAAATGAAGTTAAGTGAGAACTTTGCTAGAGACAATATACATTATTTCAGTGACTTCAAAGAGAAGTCAACCTCTCTGTTAATTTTAGTACAGTTACTGTATTAACTTTTTATATATAAAAAGTTAATACAGTAACTGAGAGGTTGACTTCTCTTTGAAGTCACTAAAATAATACACCTTCTGCCAAAAGAGTGCCATGAAATGGATAGGATGCAACCACAGCATAACTTGCATGTTTTGTTTATGCATGTTCTCATATGTTACATTCCATGGAAATTGGGACACTGGACACAGCTTGGGACACTGGACACAGCAGGTCAGTATCCACGTTCTAATAGAGAAAACTCACAACATAGATATCCCCAATGGCTTCCAGGGTGTAATGAAGCCAATTTCTACTTTATCTCTGAAAATAGGAATTAATTTTACCATTACACACTATTGCTGAGAGCAGTATGCACGTGCATTATTATGTCCTAAGACCTGCATCTTGTTGAATACATTATATATATTTAAGTTGCTCTATAAGTGTGGCCCCAGGACAGTGGTTATGGTGCTGGCCCCAGGACAGTGGTTATGGTGCTGGCCCCAGGACAGTGGTTATGGTGCTGGCCCCAGGACAGTGGTTATGGTGCTGGCCCCAGGACAGTGGTTATGGTGCTGGCCCCAGGACAGTGGTTATGGTGCTGGCCCCAGGACAGTGGTTATGGTGCTGGCCCCAGGACAGTGGTTATGGTGCTGGCCCCAGGACAGTGGTTATGGTGCTGGCCCCAGGACAGTGGTTATGGTGCTGGCCCCAGGACAGTGGTTATGGTGCTGGCCCCAGGACAGTGGTTATGGTGCTGGCCCCAGGACAGTGGTTATGGTGCTGGCCCCAGGACAGTGGTTATGGTGCTGGCCCCAGGACAGTGGTTATGGTGCTGGCCCCAGGACAGTGGTTATGGTGCTGGCCCCAGGACAGTGGTTATGGTGCTGGCCCCAGGACAGTGGTTATGGTGCTGGCCCCATGACAGTGGTTATGGTGCTGGCCCCATGACAGTGGTTATGGTGCTGGCCCCATGACAGTGGTTATGGTGCTGGCCCCATGACAGTGGTTATGGTGCTGGCCCCATGACAGTGGTTATGGTGCTGGCCCCATGACAGACAGACAGACAGACAGACAGACTAAGTGGCGACGTGCACTCACGGTAACATCTCTCGCATGGCTCACTGGATCCGCTCAGTTCTCATAAAACAGGGCCAAGAAACGAATTACTTCCAAAACGTTCAGCACCCACGAGCTACAGCGTCCAAGCGACCATTCAATACATGCAGCCGGCCAGCCGGCTGCTCCTTATTTATAACTACACAAAGCGCCCAACATGGCGGCCAGCGCCTCCACCAACACCGGTAGATCCTCACGGCTCCCGACACGCACCGCGGCCCGGACAGGAAAAAGCAGCTCAAAGCAAGACTTCAACCGGTGGCACAGCTCCACCTAGTGGTGCTAATGCGGAACTACCGCGCCGTCCACTATCAGTGAGGACAAGCTGGGGCTTACTGACTAAACAGTGATCTGTGGTGTACTGTATTGTACAAGGGAACTGGAACATTTAGGCTAAAAATGGTCTATTAAACCCCCACATTTGTTCTGGAATCTACTGAATAGAAAGTTCCGTTTGGCAAGGTTATTTACCAAAGTGAGAATTCAACGTGAATTTTAAATGTGAGACCAGAGTAGCCAAACAAAAAGTATAGCTGACGTAGAGATTTTTTTCCAGTTCGGCTACTTTGACCTTAAAGGGACACTGTAGTCACCAACACAACTTTAGATTAATGAAGCATTTTTTTTGTTTTTTTTTAAAGTTTTTAAAAGTTTTATTTGCATACTGTTTAGTTTGGAACATTTGCACGGTCAAATAAAATTGTATTAACGAACAATGATTGAGAGACAATGATGCACAGAGTATTAATGCCTTGTATACTTTGTACATAAATATATAAACACATAACAGAACATCGACTTCTATCATTCCTGAGGTTACATTAACAAGTGGCTTGAACACGACATCGTTTTCACACGCAGCATCAGTCTATTGCATAGGAGACAATAACTGACATAATCCAGCTCACAGAGTCGACTATTGTGACATAAAACTATAAACAGAGTCAACAGCACGTCTGATGGGCAACAGTAGTGTATCAGTATGGCTCAGATGTTTCCAGCTCATGTCTGGTATACAGTATGATCTCGAATTCAATATATAGTGCGAACTTAAACCATTGTCTTTATTGCGCAGTATTTTGCGCAGGTCTGTTAATGTCTAAACAGGTGTCATTGCCAGTCAGGGGGGGGGGGGGGGGGGGAGGGAGGTTGGGAGGCTGAGTATTGGTATTGGTTTGGAGTTCAAAAAATGGGTAAGTTGACTGTATCAAAATGATTGTATGGAAGATGGTGGGCCCGCGGATACCAGTTCCCTAAGAGGAGCGATACCTGGGGCCCGTAATATAGTCCCTAGTGTGAGATATGGAGATTTGAAAAAAGAGCCGTAAGCCGACGGTGTCATACATGGGGTGAAGCGAGGGTTCTGAGTTAGTGGATATAATGGTGTGGATGTGGAGCTAGTTATTTCAAGTGTCGGGTCCCCTGCCAGCTTTTTAATGTTGGCATTATAATGAAGCAGTTTATACACCAAAACTGCTTCATTAGGTGCCTACAGTGTCCCTTTTTGAAGTCCACTTTGAATTCATTTTGAATTATTTTGTTTCAAGTGAATAGTAGGTGAAGGTTAACCAAAACAAAACAAGGTATATTACATAAGTATCATAGCGAAAAGGCCCCAGAGTGTCACCCAGCATAAAATTATTATATAGTAAATGAGCTGTCAGTCACCAATAGAAAGAAAAAATTATGACCAGAGGTCAGTCTACGTCTTAACATTAGATTAAGGGATAGAAACATAGTCCTTAGGAAAGAAATAAGATGCTTTGTGTATCGATAAGGGTGTAATATGAAATAAATAAAGTATCCTAGGGAGAACGTTCATTTTAAGGGCGCTCATATGCCCAAATCAGGAAACCCAAACTCACACCACTGGGCCATATCCCTGCAGAGATTATGGAGCATTGGTGTGAAATTAACCAAATAGGTTTGTCAGAGGTCACATGAGAGCCAAATACGCAGATATTTTAACTTATCCTTGCCTCAACGGAATAGGAAATAGCCTTGTGGGGAGGCAGATTCCTGGGTGGAGAGAGAGAGAGAGACATTCAAAACATTCAACACAACAACGTTGAAATTATAATAAGCAATTTCTCCAAATACAGAGAATGTATCGAGTATATTCGGAAAACAAATAGACCATCGCTATATCCCACCACCTTATGTATGTCTCCATCCAGAAAATCCTCTGATCCCGCCATGCTCCCTAATAAACCCTGAGGCCATTTTCATTTGGAAATGAAAGATGGTCCCAGGAGATGACTGCGCAAAGTCCGATTCACAAAATTCTGATTCTGAATGTACAGCCAGCTAGCAGTCACAGTACAGTTATTATCTTTTTAAGGAAGTTTAAATTGCCAGATTTGATGATTGTGGATTTAGCTATATATCCTATAAACCTCTGATGCCAGATGTTCATGGGATAAAAAACCCCATTAAAACGAATAGAGGCTGGAGGGACTGCGTGGTCTGGTAAGGGCCTGTCTACTGCAGATATTTATGTACATGCTATAATTTTAGGAAATTTAAAGGTAAGAAGTATATATGATGCTGTATTTAAAATTTTAATTGAATGTTACATTCACATTATATCCTGTTTTCCCTCTAGCATGTGGATCTGACTCACCCTATGTCGCACTATAAAATACTCTGACAAAGCTTTTTATTATTCACTGCTTCCTACTTTTCTACAGAAGAATATGAGTCATGCGACTAGGACAATATAGCTTCCTGTTCTAAGTCACTTATTAGAATCTTCATGCCTCTGCAGGTGAGAAACCATAGAGCAATATAGAATGTGAAACCAGTTCTGTTTTTACTTTATTGGTGTATTTTCACCTTTTATAAATAAAGTTGTGTATTTTTTACCACCATCCTCTGGATTTCAAGTCTTAAAGGAACACACACGGACCAAGGCATGGGTTTACAGCACCCCAACAGCATCGGGGGAGGCAACCTTTGAATGTGTTTATATCTTCAATCTTGTGAGTGCAAATGATTACCAGCGCACATATATAATTTATAACAGTAATACACTATGTTTTGTTTTTGTGTTCTCTTTTAGATTATACAGCCATTTCCCATGTTTTGTTGTTTCTATTCCTTAATATTAAGGAAAACTGAAATCCACAGTATATATCTGTAGTGGACTCCGGGTAACCCGACTGGTTACCTTCGCTATTTTCCGTCTCAGCCAGACTGAAACCATTGTGTGATTACGCTTGTATTCCCTAAGTAATAAGAAATAATTGAGTATAAAATCTGTAACTTAATTATCTCTCAGTTACAGGGAAACATACATAATATATCTACAATCCCCCAAAAGTACCCCCAATATCAAGAGTCATATCCATGGATAGCCCTGATCTGAGCGCCCAAGTTGGTCAAATATTGCTCAGATCCGTTCAGTAGAATAGAATCGCCAATGGGATAAAGTTCTGACCGGCCAGCCACGAGGTGGAAGCCCAAAACAGTTCCATTGAAATTGGTGCAGTGGCCGGTCTTCGTTCGGGGGTTCCCGTACAAACATCGTCAAAGGTATTCCCTTGCTTTCATGGAGTGAATGCTCCCCCTGGATGATATTCTCAGGCTCCCTACTAGCTGTTCAGGGCACGGAGCAGGTAGCGTTTACAGTTTCTCCGACATTCGAAAGGTCGTCTATCCGAAAATGGTTCCAGACATTCGACGACCTCGTCTCGCTACCTGTGTTCGGTTACACGAAATGGTGGTCACCCAGGGAAAGCACTCATTAATTATTTATTTTGCATACGTTAATTGATGTTCCAGGGTTCTAATGAGGTACGGGGGGGGGGGGTCCTCACTCGGGAGTCGAACCAAGTGGGTTCGGTTACAATAACTCCCGAATGTACGAAAAATTAAATAATCACATGGAACGGCATGTTCGCCACAATATCTTCCAACAATTTCAAAACCAGCAGGGCAGTCCCAATTTCTGGCTCCTGTTCCATCAGCTCAGTTTGAACTTTCCTCACCAAGTACAGCATAAATACGTCATTAATCATGCTTGAGCTGACGATGTCTTCGCACTAGTACCTTCTTGGCTTGCTCACCTTGGTCCAAGGGAAAAATTGGGAGATATGTAGCTAAGTTAAATGTTAACTATCACTGCCTTGCGAATGAGAGAAAAGTTGTACTATTTAATATATGGTTTATGGAACTCCATTGCTCCCAGGGGCGGGCTGGGCCGGGGGACAGGGAGGCAATTGCCCCCCAGGCCGCCCTAAATTCCTGTAAGGCCGGCCGCAGCGGGCTGGCCCTTTAAATACTGCAGCCGCCCGAGCGCTCTGTTAAGAGCAGGCTCAGGCGACTGCAGCTTCTCCGTTCAAGGGAAGTCGGGTTGTCGAGGAGGGAAGGCGCACGCCAGTGTGGATCCTGCCGAAGTCTCATCGGGTTAGAAACAGGAAACCCTGCTCCGCCGCCGAACAGGAGTTTCTGTTTCTCTCAAGTCACCGCCGGACTGAGGAAGTGCACACCAGTGTGCACCTTCCTATCACCCAGCTTGCCGGCCACCGCGGACCGGAGTGCAGCTCGGCCACGCTACAGGGGAGGGGGTAAGAAGAGAGGGAGGAGGGGGGGTAAGAAGAGAGGGAGGGGAATAGAGGGGAGGGGGGGAATAAAAAGAAGGGAGGGGGGATAAGAAGAGGGGAATAAGAAGAGGGGAGGGGGGATAAGAAGAGAGGGAGGAGGGGGAGAGAATAGAGGGGAGGGGGGAATAAAAAGAGAAGAGGGGGGGAATAAAAAGAGGGGAGGGGGATAAGAAGAGAGGAGTGAGGGGGCCACAAGATGGAGGCATAGAGGGGAGGGGGGATAAGAAGAGGGAGGAGGGGAATAAGAAGAGGGGAGGGGGGGAATAAGAAGAGGGGAGGGAGGGGAGATAAGAAGAGGGGAGATAAGAAAAAGGGGGTAAGAAGAAGAAGGGGTGAGTAAGAAAAAGATGGGGAGTAAGAAGAAGAAGAGGAGGGAGTAAGAAAAAGAGGGGGGAGTAAGAAGAGGGAGAGGGGGAATAAGAAAAGGGGGAGGGCTGAGTAAGAAGGAGGGGAGATAAGAAAAAGAGGGGGGTAAGAAGAAGAAGATGGGGTGAGTAAGAAAAAGAGTGGGGAGTAAGAAGAAGAAGAGTGGGGAGTAAGAAGAAGAAGAGTGGGGTAAGAAGAAGGGGGAGTAAGAAGAAGAGGGGGAGTAAGAAGAAGAAGGGGGAAGAAGAAGGGGGTAAGAAGAAAGGGGGGGTAAGAAGAAGAAGGGGGGTAAGAAGAACAGGTGGGGGAGTAAGAAGAACAGGTGGGGGAGTAAGACGACCAAGGGGGGAAGTATGAAGAACACAGGGAGGAGGGGGGTAAGACGAACACAGGGGGTGTGAGGAGAACACATAGAGGGAGGAGTGAGAAGAACACAGGGAGGGTGGAGGGGGGGATGAGAAGAGCACAGGGAGGGTGGGTGAGTGTGAGAAGAGACCGCTAGGGGAGGGTGGGGGAGAGGAGAGACCACTAAGGTGCAGGGGAGAGCTCTACGGGACAGAAGGGGCAGCTCTATAGGACAGGGGCCAAGACAGGGAGCTCTTTCACACTACGCGCGCACACACACACACACAATGCATCCCTATACATACAGAAACACAACATGCTTCCCTTACACACAGAGAAACACACAATGCATCCATTACACACACACACACACACAATGCAACCCTTACACACAAAGACAATGCATCCTTTGCACACATACACAGAAACAGACAATGCAAACCCGTACATACACATGCAAACACACACACTTCTTTTCTTACATACACACAGAAACACAATGCATCTCTTACACTCAATGCACACACATACAGACACACACCTTGCATCCCTTATGCATACAACACATAATACATCCCTTATACACAAATACACACTGCTTCCACTACACACAAACACACTACATCATCTGCACAAACTGGTAACCCTATACACTACATACCATAAGCACACATATTAGATCCTCTACAATAACACATAACACATCCCCTACACACTCCACTCCCTGTGAGCGAACTCATGGGTGGGTGGAACTTATGAGTGGGCCTTATGGGCATACTCACCGTCAGGCCCTGGGGCCCAGAACTTGAGCTGTGTAAGGGGCCCCAAAAAATGGAGCTGCTTCCAATTCTCCCAGAACATTGAATTTTGTGACCACAGTTGCAAACAGCCTCCAGAGATCCTGTTCTACACCAGACCAGTGGAGCCAAACTGCAGCCCATCATCATCCTCATCTGCTTGTAAGTAGGCAATCTAGTATATTATTAGTGACACTAATCTATAATGTACCTCACATTAAAGGGACACTATAGCTTAATGAAGTGGTTCTGGTGTCTATAGCTGGTCCCTGCAGGCTTTTTAATGTAAACACACACTGTGTGCAGCACTGGCGTTAGTTCATATGGGTGGGGCATTGTGATGTCACATGGGGGGGCAGCAAATTTTTATTTTGTCTAGGGCGGCAAAAATCCTTGCACCGGCTCTGATCCTGGGCAGGTGCACCAGTCTACTGGTGACCCACAGGAGGGGAGTGCACTGATTGCACTGCACTCTCCTCCTGCCCAGCCCCATCTTTACCGCAGTGCAAGTGCCCTCTGCCCCTAATTTACAGTGGCTCACACTCACAACAAGCAGTGCCTGGAGCCGTGAAGGAGCGGGTATGGCAAAGAACTACTGATTAGCATAACATCAATATCCGTTATAAAACCAGGAAAAGGTGGGCATGGATGGTGAACTGATTTGGTGGTGCAATGGGCCACTTGACTGGTTTTGCCCCGCAGGCCTAATGCTGCCAGCCCTCCCCTGATTGCTCCCAACATCAGGGGGAATCAGATCCAAGGAGGTGGGATGGGCAGTGAAATGATAATGGGCAAGCTTTCCCAAAAAAGCAGCATGCCCACTGTGGGCTGAATGCTGAGGACAATCCCCTGGGATCCTCAGTTGTGAGAGACCAGCAAAATAATCCAGAATAGTTGGACAGAAAGCCAAAGTCAGCATTGTGCCATGGATCTGGGACTGTAAACACACATGTTCAAGATGGGAAGTTGTCCTTAAACAGCTGTTCAGCTTGTCCTGTTCTGCTGCCCTGTGGCGATCACGAGGGGTGGAGCCTAATGAGAGGGTGGAGCCTATCACTGCACACCCCGCCGATCCGTCTATATCTACAGAGCAACTGGGAACTTTGCACCCACCCAGGATCAGCTCTGCAAATGATTGCTCTCCAGTTGGCATAGCATCGTGGTAGTTGTACGACAGATGGGGAGTTACCTTTTGGCCAACCTTACGCTTTACCCCATGACCCTCTCTGTATTAGTTCTGACACTGCAAAGGACACCTCGTGCCATTTAGGATAAAAAACAGTTGTGAAATAGCTGTGTTCAGTTTTAGTAGTTAATTATGTTAATATAACCTTGAGGAGGCAAAGATTCTGAGTAGCTGCATCAGGGATCCTGTTGTGGATATTGTGATGGCAGGGTTTTTAGATGTCTATTGTGTATACTGAGAATTCTCAATAGACACTTATATACTCAAATATTTACATGCATACAGAAACGGTTTGATTACTTTCATTGTGAGGGTATCTGGGCACCTTTACAGTCATAGTCACTACATCACACTGTTGTGGTTATGGTGACTGGAGTGTTCCTTTAAGAATAACAGTTAGTACCTTTCCTTGTATGGTTTCAAGCTAAGCCTTTTTTAGCAGGACTCTGTCATGCAACACTTTTAAGTGCTGCCTGGTAGTATGCAGAATTCATATGCCACAATGCCATGTGGTTTACGATCCCAGAGCAAGCACCATGAGTGCTTCTGGTCACCTAACTGGCACCATCGTTGTTGTGTGCAGCAGATTTCATTAGAGTATGCATCGAATATATATATGTATTTTTCATTATTTTTTTTTAAAAATAGAATGTTTCTTGTTCAATTGGGTCCTTTCTATTCATCAGACAAGTTCAAGCAAAAAAATAGATAGACTATTTGATATATATTACTAAATGACCACTTAAATTACAAACTTGAAAAATAAACATATTTGATCTATTGGTAAACATAATTTATAAAAAAACTAAACAAAACAAAAAACAATCAGGTTACAATTTAAAGAAAGGGTTTTGTTGACAATTGAGCCTTGTATTAGGGAATTTGAGAGTACACAGACTCTTGAAGCCTTTAAGATTAAAAGCTATATTTCCTGTTCCACCACACATGTTGTGTACCTAATCACTTGTGGTTGTGATGCACAATATGTGGGGAGAATTGGAAGAAAGGCTAATGTTTAGAACATTCTAACAATATACATAAAAAACCTATTACACACTCGGTGCCTGTTCACTGTAATAAATGTCCATCTTTTAATAACAATATCAACTTTGCTGCTATTGAACAAGTACAACTTGATGAGAGAGGGGTGATTTAATGCTGAAATTAAGAAAAAGGGAAGGTTTTTGGATACATAAACTGAAAACGACGCAACCTCGAGGTTTAAACGTAGAGTTTGATTTGGTGTGTTTTTTAAAAATGATGTTTTAAAAATACTTTTTAAAAAAATGATTTTTTAGAATGATTGATTACAACCTTAAAAGTATCACAGTTTCTAGAATAATCTGCTGCATTTTGTATATTCTCTTGGGATTTTTAATATAATTTTTTATATTTTTATCACACTTTTTACTTTAATTTTTATGATATAAGAAGTATGTTTATGTATGTTGATATGAGAATTTTTAGGGATTATCAATTATAAAATATGAGTATATGGTTTTTAAAGATACCATATTACTCTTTTGTCTCTAGGCTTGTGTATATATATATATATATATACATATATATATATATGCTTCCGGTATGATTAAGTTTCGTGTTTACAAATGATGACACATGTATTCTTTGTATCTTTTTATTCTATGTATTACTTGCGCGTTATATTGGGACTCTATATAGATGGTAAAAGGAAGAAATGACATGCAGCACTTACAGTGGAACGCAAGCGCTTTTCCGACATTCCGATTAACGGAACGCAGATGCCGGACGCGCATAAGCGTACAGGACTAGACGGCACATGGAAGCGAGACTTGAAACACACCCGGCGATTACAAGGTACAGCTGGGACCACTCGACACGATGGGCTGACAACAACCGCGGGAGTGGCGTCTTCTCATTTTAAAAAGTGCCAGAAGATATATAATGAATTTTACCACACCGGAGATTGGACTGTTAATATTACCCCTGAGGAAGTCCGAACTTTTGGCGGACCAAGCGCGTAGGGTTGGGCCACTGTAGGAATTTGGTTTATTTATTTATTTTGTTGGCTTGTTTTTATACATAATAAATTGTGTTAATATACGAAGTAGTACTCCTTATCCTTGACGGCGATAACCCTTGGATGCTCACTGGAGATTACACTTGTTGGATATGATATGCTCATATATCACTTCAAGTTTGTAAGTGTTAATTTGTTTAATCGCAAAGTTGAGTGTCTTAACAGATTGCACTTATTGTGTATTCTTATTCTCTCCTACATGCCCATTTTCGTGTTGTGGATTCCATCTTTAATCACTTGTTAGGCCTACAATCAATATACTTTTGTCAGTGCAACCTTAAACACTAGTATATTGGTGTAATTAACTTTACTACTCTATGAGTTTTATTTTAATTTTACTGTAGATGCTTTCTATATAGTTTGTATTGTGAGGACTGGGAGGAGTCCTGTTATTTTTTCTACAGTTTAAAAGAATACTGTATAGGTAAAATAATTCTATACATACACACTGTGTGTCCTTCCACGTGATGTGAAGGGTGATAAATTTATATTGTATATTTGTATTAGGGTGTGCGGTTTGTATCTCAGCTCGTCAGCATTTGCGTTGAATGTTGGGAGATATACTTTAGGTTCATAGCCCTACAGTTTCCATAACTAATACCGATCCTTATTGACATTCATCTTATAACTTCCTGCCTGAACATTTTAAAAGCTGTGAAGTTTAAGTGTAACGCTTATTATAGGCAATACATTGCTAAATTTGCTATGCCCGCAACTCGCTATGATCACACAGCACGGTAGCCAAAATAAAATCTTTTCAAATGCCATGTTGTAGTTGGTTTCTGAATCTTAGCAGAATCACAGTAAATTGGTAGGCCGGTTCCCCCATTACACTTTAAATTGTAGGCAAGATTAATTAAGTGATTCACCTGCTCCTTGAGCAGCTCCGGTAATGAAACGTAACTGTGAGTTTAGCGTAGCTGCTATAATTCAACAGCTTTCAATCAGACCCCCTCCTTTGATCAGCTCATTCTCTCACAGCAGGGCAAGTAGATCGCCACAGGACACAAGTGCTTACTTTGTAGTCACGTTAATTTTACTTTTTGTTTGTCTTTAGCTGTTGGAGATTAATGAATAAAAGTAGCATTTAAAATTGCCACCTATTCTCTCGTAATCATTATGAAGGCATATTCCTTCCCGTTTCACTTTCTGATTACCTGATGCAGTTCAGTTAAAAGACCTAGAAGGAGCGAGTGTTAAGGAGACTCATTTCCAAGTGCTTAGTTTGTCTGCAGGCTGTGCAAACAGTAATACATTTTATTGGCCTATAATGAAAACCATCATTAGATTAAATTATATTAACATTACATCGTATCATGGTTAACATTTACAGGAGTGGAAAGGAAAGAAATTAGCGTGCGCAGTTCACGTATTATTACCACTTAGATTGCATTCGTTCCCATAATTCCGTCCCATTATTTTTCATTGTTGTTGAATAATACCCGTAACAATCCTTTGATTGTACATTGAATGGGTGGATCTCTGCTAGGACTGTAGCGTTTGTGAACTCTAATCAAATGGCTATTTTAAACATAAAAGAAACTTTCCTTATTTAACTTTATTATTTTCTGGCATCTCAAGCTGTTTTTTTTTATATCTCTCTCTCTCTATACTGGTGATTTGAGGAACTAGGCATTGTGCTGAGAAAGTCAGAAAGCTTTTTAATACAGATGTGTTTTAGCTTTTCTGCCTATTATAAATATTCATCAGAATATCATTGATCAATCTCAAATGACTTGAGGTTTTATTAATAATTTCGAGACGAGTAGTAAAAATAACCCCAAAATCAGATTTCATTTATGACTTTCAAAGTACTAGGTCCTAGGTATTTCTCATCCACATTTCCAGTGAAATATGGTGTGAAAGTTAATCAAGCAGTTAATATATTAATGGGACACTGTAGGCACTACAAACATTTCTTATCATCTCATTGAATTAGTTATAGTGCCTGGAGCTCCTTGGCAATGTTCCTCTATTCAGTGCTAAACCATTTGCAAGAAGTTAAAGAAAAATAGCATTTCATAAAGATATTTGGCAAAATCTCCAGACGGTGACACTGACACTTTAAAAGGTACACTATAGTCACCAGAACAACTACAGCTCAATTAAGTTGTTCTGGTGACTATAACCAGTCCTTGCAGAAAAAAGGAAGCGATAATATTAGTGTCTTGGGACACCTCCAGTGGCAGTCATTCAGACGGCAGTGTGCAGCATTGGCATTCAGTGTCTCCACACTCTGCATGAGCAATGCCGCGCCAACACTGTCAGACCTGCACAGCACTGGAATAAAGGTGATTTTCTTTTTAGCATGTTAATGGGGGTCTCGCCACCTAAACATTTTTTTTTAATACTATAGGATCAGAAAATTGAATTCCTGACCCTATAGTGTTCCTTTAACTCTAACTAAGAGCCCCTTGCCACCCACAGCCCAGCGCCTACAGGAGGTATTGTTAAGGCGGGGATTGCACACTTTCTTCTAGACCTACCAATTCATACTAGCAATGGAGTAGAAGCAGGCAGCTGAGACTCTCAACCAATCACAGCCTCCCATTGCTGCTCCAGCTAATGCTTACTTATTACAAATTGCTGCTGAGGACTCTCAATTAGCATTAAAATATTCACATGTGACAGGTAGGGGTGCAAAACCAAGGAGTTTGCCTGACTCCCAAATATATATATGAAACCAGGGGGCTGCACTCACTGTTGACGTTGACTCACTCACAATTGACGTTGTGGCAGGCTTATGCAATGTATGATCATATACTGTAACTAAACCCCCATTATGTTTGCCTACATTAGATGTTTTAAAAAAAAACAAAAAAACTAAAAAAACGAATGCAATCTGTGAGCTTTGAAGGTGCTGTTTAGTGGATGAGTGAGTACACTGGATCTTGTGTACTGTATAAATTGGCCCCAGCAGCACCCCATTTATGAATGTTCAGGTGAGTGCAGCCCCCTAGTTTCATGTATATATAAATTTGGGAGTTTAGCCAACTCCTTGGTTTTGCACCCCTTCCTGTCACAAGTGCCTCATCCCAGGGCCCTATTTAGCCTTGTACTGCAGAGAGCCCCAGATGGAATTTTCCCCCCCAAGTAAGTGGGTTTATCTCATAAGAGCAGACATTAGGGCTGTTAGAGTAGGACCTGCCAAAGATGGGGTACCTTGACGTTGTGGCAGGATTATGCAATGTATGATCATATACTGTAACTAAACCCCCATTATTTTTGCCTAGATTAGGTGTTTTAAAAAAAAAAACACAAAAAAACACCTAATAAAATCTGTAAGCTTTGAAGTTGCTGTTTAGTGGATAGGTGAGTGCGCTGGATCTTGTGTATTGTATAAATTGGCCCCAGCAGCTCCCAATTTATGCATGTTCAGGTGAGTGCAGCCCCCTGTTTTCTTTATATATATATATATATATATATATATATATATATATATATATATATATATATATATATATAGTGTGTGTCCACTAAACACACACTGCGTTCACTATAAACACACACTGCTCCAACTATGCACGCACTCACACTCACACTATACACATGCTGTATCCTTAGGCACACACTGCATCCATACATACACACATATACTGTATACCTTACACACACTGCATCCACTATACGCAAACACACTGCATCCACTATATAGACACAACATCCTCTATATACACACACTGCATCCACTATATACACACAACACACCCATTATATACACACACACAGCTTCCACAATACGCATACACACTACATCCACTATAAACACACTGCATCCACTACACACATACACTTCCTCACTTATACACACGATAGATCCCCACTACACACTCTAGATTCCCTATACACACACATTGCATCCTCTACAAACACACACTACATCCCCTACCGCAACTATAAATGCCTGCAAAATATAAAAGATAGGAACACACAAGATTTTTACACGGATATATGCAGATGTACAAATGATCTTTGCAAAAAAGATCCATATGCTGATATATGTATATACAGATACACAAAATAGTTTTACACCAATATATGTATAATATTCATACTCATATATTCAGATACACAATAGATCCATACTCTGATATATACATACATACAACAAAATGTTTTTACACTGATAAATACAGATCATAATCTGATATAATCAGTTCCACAGACGCTTTACATGCTTATAAATACAGATACATAAAAGATTTGTATTCATATACATTAAGAGCCATATAAAATTCACACTCTGGACATACAGATCCACAAATGGTTTTAAAAGAAACTGTGGAAATTCAAAAGGTTAAAAAGTTAGGAAAACTATCATAAAGCCATCTATGGCTCAATTTAACCCCTTAAGGACCAAACTTTTGGAATAAAAGGGAATCACGACATGTCACATGTCATGTGTCCTTAAGGGGTTAATATTGTTAGATTATTTTTTCAAATTATTTCAATTTATTGGGGTAAACTTTTAAAATTATTTAATATTATGAAAAAGACTTTAATTTTGTAATATTTTGATATTTTTGATGCACTGATTTTTTTTTAAGCTTAATATATTTTTTAATATTTAAAAAAAAAAAAAAAAGTAAAACGTTTATCCAAAAATATTAAATTATTGGTTATTTAACCATATTAAATCTAGGCCTATGGTTTAAAAGTACTGTCATTTTTTCAGTTTGTTTAATTTGGGTGAGCTATGATATGTTTCTATTGCCGTATACCTTAAAGGTATTTTAACATTTGCAGAAATAAGTAGACAAAGTACCACTAAGAAATGTCTATGATGTCAAAAATATGTACACGTGTAAAATAGCCATTGATATATACTTTTACAGTTTTATTACAAATGTTTAAACATATAATGACATATTTATAAGGGAAGTTAATAATACCTATGCATCGTTTGTCCTTTTTCACTGCTCTCCTTGGATTGAATGCTTGCCCCAGAAAATAGT